TGATACAGAGCATGGATAGACCTATGAGCAGTTACTGAAGGATCCACACCCCAAGGTGGGGACCAATGTCTCTCCTGTCACCAGGCGCCAATCTCCCAGCATTCCCCCTGCAAATGCTCGGGCACCAAAGTCCCTGCAATTCCTAAGAGCCCCAGTCTAATGCCTATAGCTTGTGAGGGAATAGGGTGGGGCTGCTCCCTGCCCTTTGATCCCCATAAAGGGAGGGAAGTAGCCTGGAGGGCAGGGGGCAGGGAAGGAGTTCATGGGGCCCCTCGTTCCCCCTGCCAGGGGCATCAGGGCAGGGTGTGGGCATCTCTTGGGTGGGGCTCATCCTAAGGTGAGGATGGGTAGTATGTCTTAGCATGACAGATAGATGTCAGTACATGGTGGAATGTAATGAAGAGAACAAAGTAAGGAGAATACAGAGGGTCTCTATGTTGCAACCTATGCCAGTACTGACTTTACCCTTACCCACAACCACTTTTAGACTCAACCAAATTGAGAGCTCAAGGACTACAACTCCCAGTGTGCACCACAACTGCTTTGCATGTACCTTGGGAGTTGTAGTTCCCTTAAGAGGCCCTGGGTTCTCTTTCCAAGAGCTTAGCTGATCTGGTCACAGAATTCTCTAAGTGCAACACTATTTAAGAAGGGTAAGGCAGGCTAGGAGGTCCATGGTGGGGAGAGAAGACCCCTTACTTCAGGCAAAGGGGGAAGAAAGGAGGAAGGAAGGAGAGGATGTCTGTTGAAAGGGGCATATGGGTGGGGAGGAGCTGGGGGGGGTGGAAACAGGAAGGAAACTGAAGCCAGAGACATGAAGTCGAAAGTAAGGTCTTGGGGGAGCCCCCACTCTGAGGCGTGGCAGAGACTGGGAAGACATCTCTCCTACCATTTTGGTGACCTGGGACGGTGTAAGATTAATTAGTGACGTTAAGTGGTATCAAATTAATGTGTGCGTGTGTGGGGAATCACTGGGCCCATTCGCCTGCCGTCAGCCCTCTTTTGCCCTGGGCACCCTCAAACTATGGATGTGGTATAGGCATTTGCTCGTTAGGAACCCCCGAAGGTTCTAGGAAAGCGAAAAGGCAGAAGAGTTGGGGTGAGGGAGGGCTTGATGGTTGGGTTAGCACAGTAAAGGCAGCTGTGGGGTCCAGGTGTGAAGTCAGGGCCAGGGCAGGACAGAACACAGCAGTCAGAAGCCTCAGGGAAGAGCTGATAAAATGTGTGCCACCTGCTTCCTACCCATCTCAGCCTATGGGCCAAAGGAGGTCTCCTTTGGCCTTATGGGGGCATTTGCTAACGGTGGATTTCCTCCTGGACTAGTGGCCTGTGGACATAAAAGATGGCCTCTCGGGGAGCCAGATGGCAACTGGGTGTCTTTCCCAGGTAGAGACGGGAGGTCGGTGACGGGCTCTGGGTTTCCTAAAGTCCTGTGACAAATGCTGACAGGCCACAAGATCTCTGCTAAGACCTGAGCTTGGCTAAGTGGTGTGGCGGGTCTCTCTGGACCCTCCAGTCCTTGATGGTGATCACTCTGTCCTCCTCCTCCCCAGCCCCCAGGCCTGCACTGGCACCTGGCCGCTTCTGTGTTGGCAGGACCGGGGGGGGGGGGCGCAGCAAGGCAACTTCAAACTGTCCGGGCAAAACGTCAAGTTTACTCACGAGTTTACTCAGGAGAAGGAGGGGGAGAGGCCAGGCACACCCCATGCCAGGGTCCTATCCATCTGCCTGTCTCCACCTTCCTCCCCCACCCTCCTTTTCAGCCCTAGGCCAAAACAGGCACAAGCCCCAAGGCCTGGTGGCAGGGCTGTCTTAACTCTCAGGAAGGTCAGAGAGCCAAGCAGGCTGGAGGCAGGAAGCCCTGAAGCAGGCCCAGAGGCTTCTGTCAGAGGGCACTGCCCTGCCTGGAGCCCATTTATTCCCCATCTTAGGTCCTTGGCCTTGGGCCAAAAGAACTGGGTCTCTCAGCCATCTAAAAGAGGGCCTCGCCTCCCCCACCCGAGCAGTCTGCTGGTCTAGTGACTTCTGACCCCAAAAGTCCATTCCTAGGCTGGGCCTCGGGTACCAACATGGTGCCATTCAGGGGCCCATTCATCTTAGCCTTGGCTTGGAGTGGGGGGCTAGCACTCCATCTGACCTACTTCCTCCCCACCTGTTTTCACTCTTCGCGTCTCTCCCCAAGCCTTCACTGTCCCCACCCCAGAGGTGCTCCACCCCCCTGCCTGCTGGGTCCCCTCCCCCACTCTTCCCCAGGGTGCCAAGTGCAGGCACACAAAGGGCCCGATGGTGCATTGTTAGCCCAGCCCCCGCTGCCCGCCGCGCCCTCCTGGGGCAGGCACTAGGCCAAGGAGGAGCTGGGGGCGATGGGCGCCAGGGGGCACCGTGGGGAAGGGGGAAGAGGTCAGCACCTGTCTGTAGACACTGGGGCCATGTCACCTGGCCTGAGTAGTGGTGACAGAGCCCCATTAGAGCAGGCCTGTCTCCTTGACACCTGAGCTTAGTGGGCGCTGCTTCCTTTCTTCCCCAGAGCCCCTTTCTGGTGGTATTAACCCCTTCCTGACCCCAGGCTGGGGGGGTGGTACCCCAGGGAGGGGACAGCGTCTGGGGGTGCCAGCAGGCAGCAGCGAGCCGTGCCTACAGCAACCATGTTAACAGAGGCACGCTGGGGGATCTGGGGTCCCGGGGGCCAGGGACAGGAGGCACTGGCAGAGATTTCTCCCTGTTTCATCAGCTGCTCCAGGGGGAGCCCCCTGTCCTTCTCCCCAGTTACCACTAAGGAGGAACACTAACTACCATGCAAACCCAGTCACAAATGTGCCCGTCTCCAGCCCAGCACAATACTTCTTATGCCCAGTATCTCCTCCCAATCTAATGTCCACTCCATGCCAGCTCTATAAACAGTGCCAGGAGGGTACAGGGGTGACCAAACCAGTTGGTGTGTGTGTGGGGGGTAGCAAAACGCAACCCCATGATCCTCCAGGCCTTAGCGCCCCCCCAAAACACACACTCCCTTGGGGAACAGAGAGTTCATATCGTGGTTTAACTCCTTACTTCCCAATCTGGCTCCCCCAACCCTTGATAAACGGTCCCCTCCTCTAGGAATAAGTTGGGGGAAGGAGAAATAGCTGCGCTGACTCATGCCCAGTCTCAGCTGCAGTTAGGGGTCTCCAAGGCATTCGGGCGGGGGTCAAATCAAGAACGCCCTCCACCTGGCCCGGAAGCCAGGACAGCTTGCCGGTCTCCCCCTCTCCCCAGCACCCACTTCCGGTGTCCCAAACTAGGTCAGCAGTGCTCGTTTCCTGTGGGTCAGCTAGCACCGGCGCCTCTGCCCCTCCCCTGCTCCGGACCCAGGCTCCCCGCCTTACCCCCGCCCCCCCAGGGCGCCCCGAGGTCTCACCACGTCTCAGCCGCCCTTTGATACATGGGGGTTGTGCGGGGTGGGGGGCAGGGGACCCGCCCTCTCTCCAAACACTAGCAGGGCCGGGGCGCCTGGGCAGGCACGTGTCCGGGCACAACCCGCTGCCCACGCTGCCCCCCCACTCCCACCCCCCCTCGCTCTGGCCAGGACACGTCGCTCTCTTACTTGGGTGGGGTGGGAGGAGGGGAGAGAAAGCTGGGAATGGAAAGCAGCGCCCCCCACCCCATTAGAACGGCCACCCTGTGCCAGCGGTGCGCGCTGGGTTTCTACCACACGGCGACCCCCGCTCTGGTTCGGGCAGGTGCGCCGGCGCCGGCGGCAAGATCGGTGGTAGGTAGAGTTCTTATCACCCACCCTCGCACTGGAGTTGTGAGAGCTGACTTTGAAAAGGTGGCTGCAGCTCGAGAGAAGGGAATGTGATTGCGGAGCGGGAGGGGCAGGAGGGTCGTTCCGCTGAGCCGCACTACCGCAGGAGAGACGACGCGGCTCTGGAAGCGCAAGAAACCGAATAGCCCAGCCGGTAACTTTCCCCCAAGCCGCGGTTCCTCCCGCCGCCCCCCAGCCCCCATGCCACTGGCCTGGGTCCAGCCCACCGCGCCAGGGGGGCGCGGAGCAAGGGAGGGGGGACGGACACGCGTTGTCCTAGTTAGAGTCCGTCAGCGTTTCCATTCCCTCCGTTCGGTCCGGCTTGGGGTCTTCCCCCTAAGTCACGGAGGCGGCTGGGAGGGAAGTCGAGCGCAGCTCACCCCCTGTCCATCCCGTAGCTCGCAGTCTTATATTAGAAGTGTAAAGAAAGTTTCTGGAGACCCCTCGCCCAGAGTTGGGGGAGGCCCTAGTCCTCTACCTTTCCTCCAAGTTAAAACCAATTCCAAAGACCCGGGGAAGCTACAGGGAATGCGACTGCTTGAAATCGGGTCTGCATGTGTGTGTGTGTGTACAGGGGTCTCTCAGGACGCACGAAGGACACTGCAGTAGGCTCGAGTCTGGCGCACCCCGAGCCAAGGGACAAAAAGTGGGGTTCACTTACCTCTCAGCCGTCGGGCTCGCTCGCCGGAGCTGCAGAGGCACAGGGTGTGAGAAGAAGCGCGTCCCCCGCCAGGCCCGGGGGCTTGGGGCCCTGCTCCGGTCCTGGTCAGAAGGCCGCGGTCAGTGGCTCGCCGCTCGTTGCTGGGGGGCTCCTCCTCCGCCACCCTTTGCCTCCTCCTGCTCCCCGCCCCCCCCTTGGCCGCGGAGAGCCGTACATTCACCTGGCTCCCACCCGCCCCCCCAGGGCCCGCCTCACCTGTCCTGCTGTCTCACCTGTCCTCCCGCTTGCTTTCCCCCCATCCCTCCCCTCCCTCCCCCCGCCCCTGCCACCCCCAAACTCCCCCCACCCTTAGCAACACCCTCTGTCACTTCCTGGTTTTTCATCCGCCCCCCCCAGGCACCCCCTCCCTCCGCCCAGTAAGGACATAAACTTCCACCTCTTCCAACAGCTGGTTCCAGCAGGGAGCATATGGGTCCCCCCTCCTTTTCGCCCCCTTTTTCCGAGCTCCTACTTCGCTCCCAGAGCCTTTCCCACCCTTTTCCTTCCCCTTCTTTCCTTCTCTCTCCCTTCACCTGCCGCGATCCCTCTCCCTCTCTGCTTTCCACCACTATCTCCTCCGGTCCACCTTAACTGGAGCTCCGCCCCCGGCCCCCGGCCAGCCCTCTGCTGCTGTCCAGCTCCACCCCCTGCACGCCACCGCCCTGCCCGCCCATTGGCCTGAGCACCCGCCTATCCCATTTGGGACGCGCCTAGGGTTCATCCAGGGAGGGGGTGGAGCTTGGGGCTGGCCTGGAACCAGAAGGGGAGGGAGGCCGGAGACAGTGTCCGCAGTGGCCAGGGAATGGAGCAGCCCCCTCAGGGACTTCCTCTCCTTCACGCGGGGCTTCTGTGGGGTCAGCACCTGGGGAAGGAAGGGGGTGAGAGGTTGCGGAGAGGCTGCATGGGGATGAAGACCTAGGACTCGGAAAGAGTGGGGTCCCGCTAGGGGCTTTAATCAGGTCAGGGCCCCGGGAGGGACGGGGAGAAGGCCACTGGACGTTCTGCTGCGGCCCCTGGGCCCATCCCCCGCTCCGCCAGAGGGAGCGGGGGAGTTGAGGCTGCTGGCACTCGGTGTCCCTCCCCACGCGTGACGGCGCCCCGCGGGGAGGGAACAGTGCCCGGGGCAAGGAGCCTCTGCGCTCTAGCCTGTGCGCGCTGCTGCCTTGGCATTTTCAGAGGGGAGGGACCGAGTCGGGGGAGGGGGAGGTGCGCTCTCTCTCTCCCGGGCTCCGGCTCTTCGCCTTCCTCCCGCTCGGTCTTTTAGAAACTGAGACCCCCATAGTGGAGGGGATGCCTTGACGCAGTTTCACTCAGACACCCAGGTGGCGGTAGAGGCCTGTGTGTCTTAGGGTGCCTGCCTGTGCCGACGGAGAAAGGTAGCCTCTTAGGGACGCTTCCAACTGGGCCGGCGGTGCTACGTACCCCAACAGGGCCCTCCCACTGGCTTCAAACGGAATCAAATCCCGCTCTTTAGGGCCAGGGTCGGCTTCTCAGCAGCGGGCCAGGCCCAACCGGGTCGGACTTGATCTCCCTTCCCAGCCCCCTCCGCAGGGGGCCTCCCTCCCTTTCCAGCAGGTGGCTCCGCAGGACACCAGCTCAACCTGTTGGACCACAATGGGCGGCGCCAGGGGGGCCCTGGCCCTCACCCGGGCTGACCCGGGATCCCCGAACAAGGGGAGGGGCGGAGTCCGTCCTTCCCTCCCTCTTTCTCCCTCTGCCCCTGACGTGACTCAGCCTCGAGGCCGCTGCTCTGCCCCTCAGCCAGGGCCGGAAAGTGTGAGGCGCCCCGGAGGGCCGAGGCCAAACCAAACAGCCCCCCATCCCAGACATTATCTCACTGGAGAGTTAGGGGGGCAACAGGGACCAGTGGCCCGCAGGCATGGAGCTCTGGCTCTCAAGCAATCCGTTCCGGGTTTTCCTATCATTTCTGTCGTGTCGTGCGCCCCCCCCCCTCCGGCTGCCCTGGGTCAAGTCTGGTCTTTGCTCCAGGTTTTCTTAGCGACCTCACGGGACTGTTTCTAGTCGGGAGGATTCCGAGCAAGATGTGTCTGGGCTGGGTTTTTTCCCCTTCCTAGCTGTCAGGGTCTCGCTGACCAGGGAATAATGGGCCGGGCCAGGGGAAACCGCTTTCACGAGAAGGGTACAAGACCTAGGGAAAGGATTTGGGGAAGGGTAGGGAAGTGGCTCAGGTCTCCAGAAGGGCGAGGGTCTTGTCACTAGCTTCTGGGAACCCAGACGCGAACATCTCTGCTGTCCTCCTGCCCTGCCACTGGAGTTGCATCTGACTGGACACAACCCGGATCTTTCTGCGGCTGGACTGCCACTCTCCAGCGGTCCTGGGAAATCTGCTAGCTCCTCGGTGGTTCTTTTCCATGGTTTTCTTTTTCCTGTGGCACAAATAGTTCCCTTTCATGTTGGTGGGGGCCACCGACTTGAAATTCCTGTCTCCTCCCCAACTTGGGGTCCTAACCGCCAAACCAGAGATAGAAAGGGTCGAGAAGAGCCCGCCCCCTTTTATGGAGCCTGGTCCTCATCGCAATCTCCTGTACACCTGAACTGGGACTGAGGACAAGTGTGGGCCAGCACGGTCTCCTGGTGAACGCCCCCCCCCCGTCCTCACTCTCAGATTCAAGTCTTCAAGCAACTTTCTAGATTCTAGACTTTAATGTGTGAGGAAAGTAGGTGAGTAGATACCCCGAGAGTGAGGTGTTTGTCCTGACAAGGAGAAAAAGCCCTAGCAAGAAGGACTTTATACCTAAGGCTGGGGACAGCGACTCTGAGTGGCGGCGGGGTTACGAGACTGGCCCAAGTTCACTGAAGAGTGGTTGCTGAGCAGTTACCAGGCTTGCAGAGTCCTGGAGGAAGGGTGCAGCTGGCGGCTGAAGGCGAAGCTCTTCTTGGCAGGGTCCTACCGTGAGTCTGGGGGCCCGTTTCTGGTCGTGGGGGGTTGAGCTGAAAGCAGCTCCTCCGCCAGCATCAGGCGCCCACCTCGTTCTCGGCTCCCCCGCCCCTTCCCCGCGGCTGCCTCCGCTTCCCTCGAAAAACCCGCCGCCCAGGAAACCACTGGGGGCACTCAGACCGCAGCCCCCTCCCTGCCGCCGCCCCCCAGAACCTCCACCGCGACCGCCCAACCCACCTGAAGGGGCGGCGGCTGCCGGGGGTACTCCCTCCCGCCGGCTCCCCCCACACCTGCGGGTAGCACTATTTATAACTGCGCGCCTATTCTGGGCCTCTCGACTGGAGCCCGCAGCAGCGCTGTGCTAATCGCCGCTGGGATCTCTGCGCCCCCCAGGACTGGGGGAGGTAAATTTAGCTTCAGGAAGCTCCGGGGAACATTTTCCAAAACTCCTCGTCCCAGAGCAGGCAAAACAGAAACCCTCTGCGCACAGCCGGCTTCCTACTCGCCACCAGGTGGTGCAAGTCTCTTAAATCCCAGCCAGCTAGGGGTGTAGGTAGCGGCCCTGAAAGCCAGGTGGGGTGCATAAGGAGCTGTGGATGGCTACCTATAAAAGGGGTCAGAGGGCTTCTGCGTACGGATGGAGAAATAACTCACATGTGAACGAAATGCAAATGGGAGCGTCATTCCTTGTGGGGAGGGGTGTCAGTGCCCTGGTGCCTCCAGAGATGCCAGCTTCTCCTTTCCAGCTGTCTCTCCGTCTGCTGTGAAAATGTGGGACTGGCCCTCTCCGCCCTCAAACTCATTTTATTGTGAACCCTTTCTTATCTCTGTGTCCCGCCCCCATCTCTGTCTCTCACCCTCCACCCAAGGTTCCAAATCGGATGTAATCTACAGAAGAGCTCTTCTCGCTGTTGACACTTGAAGGCCACTTCTAGTTTATTGGTCTGGCCTGTTCCATTTCAACCCCAACTATCCCCTACCACTTATGACTGCTAGAGGGCCCCAAGGAGCCCAGGGGTAAGCGGTAACTCCCCTCTCTGTCTTGGTATCTTTCTTGCTTCCCTGGCAAAAACTCATGAAGCAATTTTGTGAGTGTTCAACCTGAGCAGCTCTTTTTGGGAGAAGTTGCCACATGCCCTTTTCCCTTCTAGAAGAATGGGGACGTTGTGGTCAGGAAAACTATTCCAGTTTGGATGAATTAAACAACAAGGAGCAAAGGACACAGTGAGCCTAGAGCTTGGATGGGAAACAGGTGCAGCTTAGGAGGGGCGCCTCCTCACCAAGGCTCTGCCTCCTAGGGCAATTAAACCGTTTCTATCAGAAGAGGGAGGCAGGTTAACAGGAGCCGTAGTTTTAATTCTTTTCTTTTTTATTTAGACAGAAGTCTTTATATTGCCCATGCTGTACTCCAGCTCCTAGGATCAAACAATCAGCCCCAGAGCCAGCCTCCAGAATATCTAGGGGGGAATAGATGTGTGCTACCAGCCTGGCAAGCCCTAAAGGTGAGATCCAAAAATGTGGGTTCACCGAAGATGAACATTGTCCTTCTGACCGTGGGATGAATCTCTTCACCTCTCTGGGCCTGGTTATTCAAATTCATGTGATATAGTTACCTTTATTGTTATCTTGCCTACTTTATTCTGTGTGTGTGTGTGTGTGTGTGTGTGTGTGTACGCACGCTCATGTTTTGTTTGATTTTGAGACAGGGTGCCTACTTTTTGGTGTATTTTTGCTTCAGAGCACACAGACATGTGTGGAGGTCGGAGGACAGCTTGCAGGAGTTCCTTTTCTCCTTTCATCCTGGGGATTGAATTTATCAGGCTCGACAGCAAGCACCTTTATCCACTGAGCCCTAAAGTATACTTTAAAAAAATACTTGAGCCAGGTACTCAGGAGGCAAAGATGGGCAGATCTCTGTGAGTTTTAGGTAAGCCTCATCTACATAGTGAATTCCAGGCTAGACAAAGCTACCTACATATTGAGGTTTTCTTTTTTTTTTTTTTTCTTTCTTTTTTTTTTTTTTCCGAGACAGGGTTTCTCTGCGTAGTTTTGGAGCCTATCCTGGCACTTGCTCTGTAGACCAGGCTGGCCTTGAACTCATGAAGATCCACCTGTCTCTGCCTCCCGAGTGCTGGGATTAAAGGTGTGCGCCACCAACGCCTGGCGGAGGTTTTGTTTTTTTTAAAAAATTATTTTGTCAGCCGGGCAGTAGTGGTGCACGCCTTCATTCCTAGCACTCAGGAGACAGAGGCAGGTGGATCTTTATGAGTTCAAGGCCAGCCTGGTCTATAAAGTGAGTTCCAGGACAACCAGGGCTACCTAGAGAAACACTGTCTTGAAAAACCGAGAAACAAACAACAGCACAATTATTTTGTTTTGAGACAGGGTGGATCACTCTTTGGCTCAGGTTGGTTTTGAATGTACTATGTGGCCCAGGCTAGTCCCAAACTGGAGGCAATCCTCCCAGGTACTGGATTAAAAGCATGAGCTACCACACCCAGTTTGAAGTAGACTTTTATGAGAAGAGTCAAAGCATCATATACTCCAGAAATCATCCAGACTGTGTGACATGTCTTTCCTTTGTGAAGCTTTTTCCAGCTACTGCTCTCCGTGGGCCTCTGTCAGTCTTTAGTCCAGTGTCCTCCGACCAGCTCTCCACCACCCATCCCACCATAGCGCGCAGCCCTGGCTGGCCTCTGCTTCCTCTATCCACCACTTCCCTGGTAGTCTTTGCCAAGTATCCTGCGCTCTGGCAAAAGCCTTTGTGCTCAGTTGCCAGACCCGGGGGCCACTTCTAAGCACTGCCCAGCTTAAAGGAAAAGGAGGCCACAGGGCTGGGTGGCGCACACCTTTAGTCTCACTCGGGAGGCAGAGGCAGGTGGATCTCTGTGAATTAGGGAGGGTAGGAGCTAGCCAGGCAGAACGCAGGCTCTAGAGGAAGGAGAGCCCTAGGTTCAATGGGAAGGTGTACTCGGCCCACCACACGCAAGCATGTGTCCGATGTTTCCCTGTCTGCAGTGCTGGGGTGGAGATCGAAGGCTCACAGGAACCAGGCAGCAGCTCTGGCATGTTTTGGGTTCTTTTTTTTTTTTTTTGAGACAGGGTTTCTCTGTATTATCTTGGAGGCTGTCCTGGAACTCGCTTTGTAGACCAGGCTGGCCTCGAACTCACAGAGATCCGCCTGCCTCTGCGTCCCGAGTGCTGGGATTAAAGGCGTGCGCCACCAACGCCCTGCATGTTCTGGGTTCTTAGAGAGGTACTGAGCAGATATGGTGGCTTATCCTTCTCTTCTAATCCCAGGACTGGGGAGACTGAGGCAGGAGATTGCCACAAGTTTGAGGGCAGCTAGGATTACAGAGTGAGAGCTTGACTCAAAAATCAAATCAAAGAGAGAAAGCAAGAAAAGGGCACTGTTTGGCAAGCCATAAAAAGCAGTGGTGACTTCTAGTAATACCGAGTCCCGGGGCCACTGCAGCAGATGGCAGCAGGCTGTTCTGTCACTGGTACACTCTACACTCGCTGCTGGCCTGCTTTCTTTTTGAAAAAAAGAAAAAAAGCATGTACCTGCAGTCCCAGCACTCTGGAAGTTTCACAAAGAAAAAGGAAGGAAGCGCTAAATGTACTGTTAAGATGTCCTGTACAAAGCTCACACCTCCAGTATGTCAGCCAGCCATATAAATGTGGTGAGTTCAAAAGCCAGTCATGGTGGACATAACTGTAATTCCAGTTTTCAGGAGGCTGAGGCAGAGGGGTGGCTGTTACATTCAAGGCCAGCCTGGGCTACTTAATAAGACCCTGTCTCAGAAGAACCAAACCAAACCAAACCAAACCCAAACCACACAGAGAATCCAGCCTACTTCTCATGTCAGGTCTGACCTGAGCCACCAATATGGATGGCCTACATTCTACTACTGGTTACTTCCTATTGTGCCCTTACTCTAAAAGTCTGTTCTCAAATCGTTTTAACCAGCATAAAAACTTGAGTTGCAGGGTGTGGAGGTGGCTCAGTGGTCAAAGCACATACAGCATGGTGTGTTGTTGTTTGGTGTTTTCTTGTTGTTAGTTCTGTGCTTTTTGTTTTTTTTGTTTTTCCAAGACCGGGTTTTTCTCTCTAGCCCTGGCTGTCCTGGATCTTTGTAGACCATGCTGGCCTCAAACTCACAGAGATACGCCTGCCTCTGCCTCCTATGTGCTAGAATTAAAGGTGTGCGCCACTACTCAGCTACATACAGCTCTTGAAGAGGATCTGAGTTTGATTCCCAGCACTGATGTTGGGCAGCTCTTCATGCAGGTCCAGTTCTTCTAGCTTCTGTACCATATGCCCACAGACAGACTGAATAATACAATTGAATACACAAACAAGGGGCTGGAGAGATGGCTCAGTGGTTAAGAACACCAGCTGATCTTCCAGAGGGTTTGAGTTCAATTCCCAGCAGCCACATGGTGGCTCACAACCATCTGTAATGAGATCTGGTGCCCTCTTCTGACCTGCAAGCAGACAGAACACTGTATACATAATAAATAACTTTTTCTTTTTTGGTTTTTCGAGACAGGGTTTCTCTGTACCATTTTAGAGGCTGTCCTGGAACTTGCTCTATAGACCAGCCTGGCCTCGAACTCACAGAGATCTGCCTGCCGAGTGCTGGGATTAAAGGTGTGCGCCACCAACGCCCGGCAATAAATAAATAACTCTTAAAAACAAACAAACAAAAAGAAGCTAAGGCCCCAGCTCTAACTTACCCTACAAGGCTTGGCTTATATCCACCTCCATATCATTTTCTTGTTTCTCCATCAGCAAATAATATCCACATACTTTACAGTTTGATGAGGTTTCCTTCCCAACTACTCTAATACAAGATCCACTGGTAGGAACAGGGTTTCCTGTTTATCCAAAGCACCTAAACTGGTGGTGCACGCCTTTAATCCTAGCACTTAGGAGGTAGATGCAAGTGGATCTCTATGAGTTCCAGGCCAGCCTGGCTACACAGAGAAACTCTGTCTCAGAGAACCAAAAAACAAGCTAAAAGTATTCACTTATTTATTTTAGAGACAGTCACACAGTATCGCCCTGGCTGGCCTAGAACTTGCTATGTAGATCAGGTTGGTCTCAAAATCTGCCTGCATTTGCCTTTCAGGTGCTGGAATTAAAGATGTGGGTCACTACAACTAGTATATATAGTATCTGTATGCCAACCAAAATCAGACTATGGAATAGCCATGTTTAGTAGGTGCAAAGCCCTGGGTTCAGTCCCCAACACCAAAACTCAAACAAACAACCAACAATAACAACAACAAAAGGCCCAGCGAAAAAGAAATTGACTAAGAAAAAGGCCAGCGAAGAGCTGGTTCCAGGGGAGACAGGAACCATATACTCCTCCAGGGCAGTGTTGCAGGGAAGGAAGAGGTGGGCAATGGCTAGGCCAGAGTGACAATGGGGGGGGCCTGGGCGAGGGTGTGATCGGTATGAACAACTTGATATACGTGTACATGGACCTCTGTTGGTTCAAGGAAAGTGTATGTTGGTAGCTGCCAAGGGGAAGTGAGAAGCCCATCCACTCACTCAGACTGTGTCCTGACAGAGGCGTGCTGGGGCCACACAGATATTTTCTCTTTTAGCTGTGTCTGAACTGGGACTCCTTCCACAAGATGGGGACTGGCCCAGTATGCTCCCCAGGTTCCTTAGAGACAGGGAGCTTCCTAGGTCACATCTCCTATTTGGAAAGAGGCTGAGTCTTTGGATCCCCATCCTCGCACCCTGGGTCTCACAGCATACGACTCTATCTATCCATTCTGTCCATATTTCGGAGTCTGGGAGGAACCTGGCCTTTCTGTTTTGCTCTTCTATCCCAGGACCAGAGTCAACAAACCTTGTTTTCAGTCTCAAATCTATCCGGCCTTGGTGTGCACTCTGACTCTAAAGCCCTTTCCAGGCACACATGTCCTCAGTCCCCTTTAGACATTCAGAAATTCTGGCCTCAAGGCCTATTTATTATATGTGTAGTTCCATGATTACCAGAGATCTTAGGGGCAGTCCATTCCTGGTCCTTCAAGTACATGGCCAGATCAGTCATCCGGGTTGGTGAGCTCACTGTGCCAATTTTGGAGGAGTACTAGATCCTGCTGCAGTCTCATCGGAGTCTTAGCCAGCAAGCCAAGCTTGTGCCTACCAGAAGTACACCAGAGACGGGATGCCCCAGGATGAGGCAGGTTGGACAGATGGACAGCCCAAAGCAGGGTCCATATTTCACTCTTCACTTGTTGGTGGCCTGTCCTTGGTGAAGGCCAGCTGGCTCTGGGAATCTTAGAGCAATAGAGAAGATGGGAGAGCTAGGTTGCAGGTTCCACCACAGAAGCTGCAGCCACACCTCCTGACATCTGCCCTCCCCACCCCACCTGAGGGATGCAGGTCTCGGTGTCAGGGTGACGAGGTTTTCCCTGCCACCACTAATCCAGAAGTTCCTTGATACACCAGCAGCAGAGGAGGATGTAGGCTACTTCCTTCAGAGTTCGCTGTAAGCCCTCCCACCCTGTGCCCATCTTAAGGACAGGCACCTGGAGACCCGGGCCTCGAAGAACATTTCCGAGAGAGAAGGGCAGGGCCTGGGCCAGGGGTTGCATCAGTGGTTTCATGTGGACAGCAGTTCAGTGGAAGAGCGTGGATGCTGCCTTTGGGGCCTTTTATCTGCTGTCCCCACCCCATCAGGCCTCATGACTAAAGACAAAGGCTCTAGGGTCTAGCAAAAGAAGGTTCTGGGCCTTGGAACAGGCTGAATCAGCCCTATAGACGGGTGGTGGTTAGAATGGGAAGGCTTGGTCACTCCGTCTCTCACCCTTTACAGTCAGGAGAGCGTAACTTCCCTCCAAAGCAGGCAGTTCTGTCTGGCTGCCTCCTCCTGTTTGACAGAGAACATCACTGGTTTCTAGTATATTCTAGTCCCAGGGCCCCCATGTGAGTACTGCCAGTTCAGAGCTGGCAGCCCTGGTCTACTTCTGCTTCCCTTGACCTTGGAGCAGAAAGGCACCAACAGTGGTGTGTGAGGTTGTGTGAGGTACAGTTTACTGACATGACAGACTATATCCCTCAGCCTTGTCCCCAGCACGTGTAAGATCATGTGCGGGAGTTCCTTTCCTCTTCTTCATTCTCCAGTAGGTATGCCGGGCGGTAGATGGGGTGCCCTCCTGGGCTCAGGCACTTCAGGGCTGGGTTCTGCATTGTGTTCTCCCGACTGCCCAGTGATGTGTACCTGGAGTGTTGAAACAGGGGCACGTAGATGACATGCGGGATCTCCTTACCCAGCATCCTCTCACCCTGCCTCCCCCACCACCAACCTTACCCTCGGTCATACAGGATACAGTATGGGACAAACAGCTGGCGCAGAAAATCCCAGATGTTTCTGTAGGTCCAGTCCTGGGAAATGACAACCAGTCATCAGAGCTCTCCTCACCACATCTACCACTGCCATCCCGGGATAGACCCATCAAAGGTGCTTTTGTTCCCCTGGCCTTGGGGAATGCTTGCTATCTGGATGGCTGCTGGACCTTGCTCCATTTAGCCTAAGTAGAGAGGCGGGGAAAGTCCTTACCCCTGTCAGTTCCCATTCCCCAGTGTCTGTCCCCATGGGCATTTGAAATGTGGCGGCAGTATAACTTAAGAAGTGGCTGTCAGGGCAGGAGAAAGGACCCAGGTTCAATTCCTAGCATCCACATGGCAGCTCACAACCACATCTAACTCTAGTTCCAGGGACTCTGTGTGCATACGGTACTCAGACAGACATTTAGGCAAAACACCCATACACATAACAGTGTGTTTCTTTCCTTCCTCCCGGCAGGGCCTTACTATGTAGCTCATGCAGATCTCAAGATGACCATCCTCGCCGGGCGGTGGTGGCGCACACCTTTAATCCCAGCACTCGGGACGCAGAGGCAGGCGGATCTCTGTGAGTTCGAGGCCAGCCTGGTCTACAGAGCTAGTTCCAGGACAGCCTCCAAAGTCACAGAGAAACCCTGTCTCGAAAAACAAAAAAAAAAACCAAACCAAAACAAAACAAAAAGATGGCCATCTTCCTGCCTCATCTTCCCATCTGTTGGGAACTGAGGTGTGCACCACTAGGTATGCCTTACACGTCTTAGGCTGGTCTTGCTGACCATGCAGCTGGGAATGACCTTGAACTTCTGCTCCTCCTGCCACCCCCAAGTCCCCAGTGGTACTTACCTAGATTGGTGAAATGGAAGGCAAGTGGGGGATGGGCAGGCTTGGGTAAGTGAGGTGCTAGGGACTGAACCCAGGGCTTTGTATATTCAGGGAAGCACACTACCAACTGAGCACCATCCTGCTTTTATGTGGTACTAGGGATTGAACCTACAGCTTTGTACAAGCCAGGCAGGTACTCTACCAACTGAGCCCTTCCCCAGCCCTAAGAACTTATTTTTAAATTTTATCTAAGTAAAAAAAAAATGACATTATGAATCACATGCCATAAACTTCACCCTTTGAAAGTAAGTAGTCCAGGGCTTTTGTTTTCTTTAGACAGGGTTCCACCCAGGCTGGCCTAGAAGTCACTGTGCAGTCCAGGCTGGGCTTGAAGTCACATAACCCTCTTTCCTCAGCCTCTTAGTGGCCTTAATCATTAGTATCTTTTTCCTTTCTATTTTTGAAACAGGGTCTGGTATGTCTGGACTGGCCTTAATTCACAATGTAGCCAAGGCTTACCTTAAACCTTAAAAAAATTATATTTATTTGTGTGTGTGTGCTTGGCCCACACAGGGAATGTGTGAGCTCAAAGGGCAAGTGGTGGGAGTCAGTTCTCTTCTGCCATCTGTGTCCGGGAGATCAAAGAGAGGTCATCAGATTTGGCAGCAAGTGCCTTTACTGTCGGAGCTATCCTGCCAGCTCTGGCCTTGAACTTACAACTCTCCTGAAGGCTGGAATCACGGGCATGAGCCATTATTCATGATTTTCAGGTGTGCTGGGCAAGCACTATATCAAATGAGCTACATCCTCAGCCCCATGATCTATATTTCCTTTCTTTTAAATTTTTTATTTTTATTTTATGTGCATTGGTGTTTTGCCTGCATGTATGTGTGAGGGTGTCAGATCTAGGAGTTACAGGCAGTTGTCACATGAGCACTGGAAATTGAATCTGGGTTCTCTGGAGGAGCAGTCAGTGCTCTTAACCTCTGAGTCACCTCTCCAGCCCTGCATTTCATTTCAATTCCAATCCAAGTATGAACACATGACTGCTGTCACACTGGTGTGAGGGTGTCAGATCCCCTGGAACTGGAGTTACAGATAGCTGTGAGCTGCCGTGTGGGTGCTGGGAACTGAACCTGGGTCCTGGGGGTGAACAGCTAGTGTTTTTAACCACTGAGCTATCTCTCCAGCCTGACCACTATCATAGGTCCAGGTCACTGTTTTGACCACAGTGAAAAGCACAATGCCTGTCACTGATTGGTTAAAAGGATGAACAAATAGCACAGCCTCCCTTGGGAGACAGAGCCCCTGAGCTCTAGCCTCCTCCCAGTGGGCAAGGGGAAGGCAGACAGTCCTGTCGAATTACCAGCAGCGGGTTGATGCGCATGAATGACGGCCAGCCAGGGTCGGTGGGACTGAAATGGCTGAGGCTACAAGAGTAAGGGTCAGTCCGTCGGGTGCCCATTAGGACAGCCTCCAGCTGGGGGTGCTTTTCCTGAAGCTCACCCAGGGCCTGCTTCATGTTGCCCTCAGCTTCTAACACCTGCAGATTATACCTTCGGGAGGAAGAGAACAGAGATGAACATCAGGGCCAGTTCTGCCAAGACCCTCATGGAGCCCAAACCTTCAGGTCCCCATACCTCTTAATGGTGTCTTGTAGAAACTGTTCCAACTCAGGGAAAGGTGAGATGCTACGGATGTACAGGATCTGGAGACGTTCTGGAACATCAGGAAATTTCCTGGGGAGAGTAAGGATTCAGACTTGCCAGGGTGGACAGAAAGCTGGTCTCCAGAGAGCTCAATATTCTGTTTGGCTCCTAGAATCAACACCCACACTACCCCCCCCAACACACACACTTTTCTTTTTTTCCAGACAGGGTTTCTCTGTATATCCCTTGGCTGTCCTGGAACTCACTCTGTAGACCTGGCTGGCCTTGAACTCACAGAGATCTACCTGCCTCTACCTCCTGAGTGCTGGGATTAAGCTGTGTGTCACCACTGCCAGACACTCTCACCCCTTTCAGCAAACCCAGACCCACTTCCTCTGAGAAGCCCACTCTGATCTCTCTCTCTTTCTCTCTCTCTCTTTTTTTTTTTTTGGTTTTTATGAGACAGGGTTTCTCTGTATTGTTTTGGAGGCTGTCGGTCTAGCCCGGCCTTGAAGTCACAGAGATCCACCTGCCTCTGCCTCCCGAGTGCTGGGATTAAAGGTGTGCGCCACCACCGCCCCCGCCCACTCTGATCTCTTATCCTTGTTTTGAGACAGGGTCTTGCTGTGTAGCTCAGGCTGTCCTATAATTCACTATGTAGCGGCTGGCCTTAAGCTTTGCAATCCTGCTTTGAGAGCTAGGGTTACAGGTTTGTGCCAGTTTGCCTGTTTCATTCCACTCTCAAACTAAGCATCATTTCTGTTATTCTAAGATAAAAACAAAACAACAACAAAAAGAACTGGGTCACACTGACTGGCCCAGAACTCACTCTATAGACCAGGCTAGCCTCAAATCCTAACAATCCACCTCCATGCCCCTCTGTTGTGATTAAAGACATTCACCACCACACCCAGCTAAGATTGTTTTAAGATAGGGCTTTAAAAAACTCATGGGCTGAAGAGTTAGTCCAGGAATTAAAAGCACTTGTTGCTCTTGCAGAGGACCTGGGTTCCATTCCCAGAACCCACACAGTAACCCACAATCCATCTGTAACTCCTGCCCTGAGGATCCAACACTCTTCTGACCAAGGCTCCTATGAGGTACATACCATACCAAACACTCCCTAGGCTAGTTCCTGAGCTCAGATGAGGCACCGTCACTCCCCCTCCTCCGACTGCTAGGATGGTTACCATGCCAGCTCATATGATTTCTGGTAAATGTCCCCTGCACAGCTGGACTCTGACTTCCCTGTGGTGGGGGATGGTTGACTACACAGATGCTCAGTAAATATGGTGAGGGATGGCACTGCTTGGGCACCCAGCTACCCTCCTTCCAAGCCCCACCTATGCACCCTTTCTGAGCCTGAGGAGGTTTTGAGTAGCTGCTTCTGGGGTGTAAGCTCCCAGGGGAAGGCTTACCTCTGCACGGCAGCATGGAAGAGGTGTAGGAGGGCAGTGCAGTCCTTGCCACCATTGAAGCCTACACAGAGCTTGGCGAGGCAGTACTGATCAAGGGCAGTCTCAATCGTCTGTAGGGCACTTGCTACCTTTTTCCCCAGACAAGATCCTGCCACACAGGCAGGGAAGAGAATGTCAACTAGGTATGTATGGCTGTCGCTATCTTCCCAGTGTTCTGGGGTTAAATCCACTTTCAGGCTGTCCCACACTATCTGTCTCCCCACCTGCTACTCAGCCCCACCTCACATAGGGTTGTGGTCTCTCCTCTGGGGCAGGGACCGAGGGGTGGGAGTATGGGGTGCTTGGGTTGCCTTCCATCCTCTGCAGCTCCATCTCCTTCCTTCCAGTCATCTCCAGGTCCAACCAAATCCTCATCGCTTGTTGTCATTTGTTCAGAGAACCTTTCTCTGACCCCAGATCAAAGCTGCTATCTCGGGGTGAAATCCACTTCAGACTCACATCTCATCTATGATCACCTGTCTAGCAGCTAACCCATCCCTTCTCAAGGTAGAGCACACACATTCTGACAAGCGATAACAACCCCAACCCCAGCACAGTGCTGCCGAGTGGAGGTCATCAGTAGTTACTGGAAGAATGAACGGCTCAATAGCGAATCTCTTGTACTTTTCTTGCATCTGTGGGGAGCCCTCTGCAGCAGTACCAGATCTAGAGAACCCAGACTCTGCCCCACATTGCCTTCCCCAAGGAGACTCCTACCTGACTGAGCGAGTTTGTATACAGCCTCACCAGCATGCTCAACAGCATTGGGCAGGTAGGGGACCAATGATCCCTGAGGCAGGTGAGCAGTCAGATAGGCCAGACATTCCTCCAAGGGCTCTTTTTCCTCAGAGTCTAGAATCAGCTTCACCTGATAGTAATTGCTGCCCCAATCAGGGTAGGAACCCAGGCTAAGCCTACGCCCAAAGTGGGCCTGGGCCTCAGTTAGGATGGAGGCAATAGAGCTCTCAGGAGCAGCCACATACAATTCCTTCACGTGGAACTGCACGGCTGTGTTTTGGAACAGTCCTTTCAATCCCTCCATCGCTCGACGCAGCAGCTCCGGAATTCCTGGGAAGAGGTAGACATTTCGGACAGAGACCAGCGGGAACCTGAAAGGCTGGCCAGTTCGAGGATCTGTGCCATAATGCAGGCGAGCTGAGGAGGGCACCAGCGACAGCTTCTCCCAACCCACCTCTCCTAGGGTTTTGATGGCGGTTTGGAGCTCAGGGTGTGGTTTGAGCTCCTCCCCAAAGGCCTGGGCTACTGCCTCAAATGTTACATCATCATGAGTGGGGCCGATGCCCCCCGCAGTGAGAACGTGAGTGAAGCGGTTTGAGAACGAGGTGACCTCAGCTGCAATGGTGGCTACCTCATCAGGTACGACAGAGACTCGGCAAACCTGGACCCCCAGGGAGCGCAGTGTCCGGCAGAGAAAGTAAGTGTTGGTGTCCTGAGTGTGTCCCTAGGGATTGGAGGGGGGACAAGACTGTCAGTGCTGGGGATGGAGGGAGAGGGGGAGATAACAACATCTGTCTAGTGATGGGGTGTTCTGTTTTAGGGTACCTCCTTAGGCTGCCAAGGAGCCTGGAATGGGAATACCCATCCGAATGGAGAGAGGGGATCGATCCTCCTTGAGGTTGCTTTGCTACCCACTCATTCTGACCTCACTTGCATTTATGGATTTGGTTGTCAAGTCTGCACTTTGATCTTGACCTCACCTATATTTATAGACTCAATCATTAATTCAGTGTGGCTTCACAGTTTGACTTAATCACCAAACCCAGCAGCTTCAATTTTAGTCCCTGGCTCCAAGTGCCTATTTTGCAGTCTCACCACATGCCTGCTTATTGTCATATTGCCCAGTGGCACTCCAGACCTGTCCATGGTCAGTTAGGCCTTTTATTTTGTTAGCTCCCCTTCTGAAAAGTCTCAGCATCTTCTCTTCCAGCCTCCTGCCACTATGCTCTGCTCCCTGTCTTCTATAATGTGTCACCATGATCACTGAATCACGTTGTGCTCAAAAACATGTGTTCTGTGTCCAACTGCATACAGGATAAAGTTCAGATTTTTTGCAATCATTGAAGGTTGGCTGGCTATGTTGTGGTCTTTGTTCTTTATAGAGGGATGAGTAATTAAGAATTTGTGTTGGAACCTGTCTGAAAATAAAATAAAATGTTTGTGTTCTAGAGTCGAAGAATGCTCGCTGCTTTTCCAGTCTGGTTCCCAGTATTGGCACTGGACTGGTCACAATAGTCTTAAGTCCTGCTCTGGGGATTTTATACCTTCCCCTGGTCTCTGTGGGCATTCCCAGATACACACACAGACACATAAACATAAAATAAAAACCTTTAAGCATGGCATGGTGGCACATATCTTTAATCCCAGCACTCAGGAGGCAGAGGCAGGTAGACCTTTGTGAGTTCAAGGCCACCTGGTCTACACAGTGAGTTCCAGGACAGTCAGGGCTACTCAGTCAGATCTTGTCTCAGAAAGTTTGTGCTCTGGAATAAGGAAGAGTTGGGCTAGAATTCCATCTCTACCATTTTCTTCCTTTTATTTATTTTGAGACAGGGTTTCTCTGTGTAGTCCTGCTGTCTGAGAACCTACTATGTAAAGCAGGCTGGCCTCAAAGTCACAGAAATCCTCCTGCTTCTGCTTTCCAAGTGCTGGGACTGAAGGTGTATACCACCATGTTCCTAGCACTTTGTAGGCTTGTGACCTTGGGCAAATTTCTCTTTGAAGCTGTTTCATAATCTATTGAGATTTGTAATTAAAAAAAAACCCAGCTTCATGGACTTGGAATTTGTAAGGCCACATGTGATATAATAAGTACATGCCAACTTCTTGTAAACACTAAAAAAGACCAGGGTCAAAATTACTGTTACAAACCTATGCCTGCCATATCCTCCAGTAACATCTATGATTATCCAGAATAGAGTCCTCTCTTCTAGTACTTTCCTTCTAGCTCGAGTATCCAGTTTGCTGAGCTCCTTGAAAAACTTCCAAATAGGCTGGATGCACATTAATTACACCTGTGCTCCCTCTACTTACTGTTCCTCCTGTAATTGTTTGTCGTGTGGCTTTCCCCGCATTCAAAGTTGTAGGAAAGTAGCCATCCATCTTTTAACAGAAAAACTCAATAACAGGAGGCTCACTTTTCCTCCAATATGTTGGAACTTGCTACAGGGTCCTACTTCGGCAAGCAAGAGTTTTCCCACCCTGGCTCACCACCTTTCACCAGAAAGAAAGCCCACAGTAAAATAACACGCCGTTCCCCTCTTCAGTTCTAGACACACCTTAAGGATCTCGTCTCCAACAATGATGATTCCCGCCGTCACACTGCGTCCTGGAGGTAGTTCAGAGGCCCTAGACGCCATGGTCTTGCTCTGTCTGATCTTTTGCAAGGCTCTCCAGTAGCCACTCAGACCCCCAAACAGGGGCCGTAAGCACTGAGGGGCCTCCAGGTCTACAGGATACTGGGGGTCATAGCCTGCGTACAGAGTCGGGGGGGTCAAGGGAACCTGGAAGAGCCAGAAAAGACACTGGGAGAGTGCAGGAGCGTACCTTCCTTCTTAGAGGAAGGCTCAATCTTCTCTAGTCACAACCTTTAGAAACGTTTCCTTTACTCCGGCATCTTTAACGTAATCCCAAGCCCCAGGATCCTAAAAGCGTCTCGATTCCTATTCTGTTAAAGTGTCATGTTCTTTCAAAATCTACCACTTTCGATATCTCCGTCTGCTGAGCAGGTCTGGAATTTTCTCTATTTGGAGTATCTACACCTTTAAATGTCTTTTGTCTTCAGGTCACCTGTCCCTTTAAATGTCTTATTCTGGGCTTCCGGCCCCTTTAAATGCATTCCTTTGCTCCCGCCCGCCACCGGTTAGAACTCAACCTACCTCTGCATCCTTTCTAGCCCAAAGTCTGTTTATCTCACCAGGTTTCAGATCATTGACCTCGTAAAATTCCACCTGCCTATTTTGCCCCTTCACAGGGTCCTTCTCTTTCCTTTCCGCGTGTCCTGCGGCAGCTTCCGTAGTCACAGTCCCGCCTTACAATGCTTCATGCTGATTGGCTATTCTGGCTGTCGCTTACTCCTATCAATAGTCCCGTTGGTCTAGCTGGCGGTCACTTACAAGCTTTATCTAGGCGCTGAAGGAAACGCTAAGTTGTTATTGGCGACACCACGTAGTCATCGCTGCCCGGAAATAAGAATAGGGGCCTGGCCTTTGCCCGTGGAGGGCGGGACTTACAGAGTTTGGGACACGAATGGACCTTACTGGGAGATTCTTTTTTTTTTTTTTTTTGGTTTTTCGGGACAGGGTTTCTCTGTGGCTTTGGAGGCTGTCCTGGAACTCACTCTGTAGACCAGGCTGGCCTCGAACTCACAGAGATCCGCCTGCCCCTGCCTCCCGAGTGCTGGGATTAAAGGCGTGCGCCACCAACACCCGGCACTGGGAGATTCTTTAAGGATTGTTGGGTGCCGCTTTTTAGTACTGGAAGGAAATGAAAATCTGATTCTGTTTCATTCAGATACTAAAAACATCTAGGCAGGATCCCACTGCATGACCCTGAAACTTATTTATACAAGTCAGCATGGCCTCGAACTCTGCCTCTTCCCTGAGTGCTGGGATTCAAGGCGTGAGCTACGACGCCCCACCACATTCTCACCCTTGAGTGCCCTGTTTTCATTAGCTAAGGCTAATTCTAGACCAAGGAGTCCGGAGCTAGTATTGGCATCAAAAGACATTGCCTCTTGTTTTTTCGAGATAGGGTTTCTCAGTGTAGCCCTGGCTGTCCTGAAACTCACTCAGTAGACCAGGGGGCCTTGAACTTTGGAGACTGGAGACTGCCCCCCCCCAAGTGCTGGGGCGTTTCAGCCACTCCAAAGAATTACTCTTGGATATCAGATAGTTCTAATACTCAACCACATTTGAAATCCAGCTCCATAGCTGACAAGTCACAGGTGCAGGAGTCCTAAGCAGGTACTATGGCACCGGAAAGCGTTAACACTCCACGGCTACCCCATCTTCACATGCGCTTCAAGTAAATGACAGCTTCTGACTGCAGCAAAGTTCATCTGCTCCGATGAGACAAGGTTGTCCCAGTAAAACCATTATCTCAGGCTAGTAATCAAGAGTGAATTTACACTTCAGCAAAAAAATTTTTTAAAAAAGATTTATTTATTTAATGTACATTGGGGGGTTTTGCCGCACATAGTCTGAGTGTCAGATTCCTTGGAACTGGGGTTATAGACAGCTGTGAGCCACCATGTGGGTACTGGGAATTGAACCTGGGTCCTCTGAAGAGAGAGCAGCCAGTGCTCTTAATTGCTGAGCCATCTCTCCAGTCCCAACAGATGTTTTTACAGTAAGTTCAATTAAACTAGACTATAGTTATTGCAATATCCAACTGAGCCTCGTTACTGCAAGGAGCCAGAATCCACCATCCACCTTTCAGAATCAGAACGGTCCCAGAATATCACCTTGGTTGCAGGACGGTGGGTGGCTCAGAGGCAATGGGGGGTGGGAAGTACACAATGACATAGGGATAGGACAACCTTGTAACCACAGCTTTAGATGATAAAAAACTTCCTTTAATCAAGGCTTGTAACACGGAAGAGATTTGTCAGATAAAATGGAAAGTTCCCAATACATTGAAACGTAAATCCCTAAGTCACCATAAATACAATACCCAATAGTAAAAAGCACAACAGCAAATTCACACCATCCCTGTTAACAGCCATGATCTGATTTTTCACACGCTTCTGAGAGATGGCAAGTACGGCCTGCTGGATACAGCGCACACTAGGTCTCTGAGGTCACACTCATCTGACGGGTTGTGGCATTGGTGGCTCAGGTCAAGAAGCAAAGGAGGTACCAGCACATTCAAAAAGTGTATTGAACGAACATCCTTTAAACGCCAAAGTGAGAAATAAGACAGCAACATAACCATGCTATCAGAAAGACGGTAGGAGGGAAGGACAGCTGGGAAGAGCTTGGGCTGAAAGTTGGTTCAGCAGCTTCATTTCTTTGGCTTCTTGGGTAGTGGCCGCCGGAAGAGTAAGATGTGAGGTTCTGAAAGAATTAGTGAGATCTAAGAAGGAAACTCACACCATTCAAGCAGTCAATAGGGCACACCACCAGCATCACCCTCCCTCAGCCACACCCACTTAAGCTTCATAGCCAAATCAGACATGAGCACACTGCCTTAGAATCAGCCCCTGGAGTCTGGCCTTTCTGCCATCGACAGAATGTTTCTTCTGTTGTCTGTACAGCCCTGGGGTGTCCTTTATTAGTTTTGCCTGGCAGCTGGTGTCTGGTGTCTTAACAAGAAACAGAATTGCCTGTGTTTGTTTGGAATACATCCAGTTATTTGCAGAAGTCATAATCAGGGTATATGTGGACTTGAAGAGTATCCTTCAGCTCAACCAAAGACTACAGAGCTTTTTTTTTTTAAAGTAAGGTTGTCCCTGATCTTCCTAATGTTTTTACTCTCATTTTTGTCATTCTAGTTTCTTTGCATAGGGGGAAGAATCCTATATGATGCCCCTCCCTGTATTGTTCTGGTTTATAATCTTCCTCCTTCAGCCAGAACGAAGCTTCCTTACATTGCACTGACCTGGTTCATGGATCATATAATGGACCCATCCCTGACTCTGCTGAACGCCAAGATTTCTCCATTCAGATTCAGACATCAAATGGGTTTTAGGGACCAGCTTGGCTATGTCCTTGGGCAACATGACATGCCTGTAACAGAAACAAGGGGATGTGAAGAGTTTGTGTTAGTTGGGGGTACACTGACCTATATACAAAGACAAGCAGAGGAAAAACATGCTGAGTGTGGTAGCTCACACCTGCAATTCTGACACTCACAGGGGTATGGCCAGAGGATTTAAGGAGTTTGAGGCTATTCTGGGTTACAGAGAATCAGTGAACACAAGTAAGTAGCTGGGCATGGTGGTGCACGCCTTTAATCCCAGCACTTGGGACCATGAGTTAGGTGGATCTCTTGAGTTCTAGGCCAGCCTGGTCTACAGGTTCCAGGCTACATAGAAACCATCTCAGGGAAAAAGCCAAAAAACAAAATCAGCAACAAAAAAATCAAACCAAACCAAAAGAAAGAAAATTAAAGCAGCAACTAGTTCCTGATATCAGGGATTTGTATAATCTTACTGTGGAATATTGTGCACCAGAAGCAGCCAGAAACATGAGTTTTATGAATTTTTTTGAGAATATTAAAAATACAAATCAACAACTTGAATGAATTCCTGGATATAAGACACTGATATTTGCATTTTCTCTGATTTCACAGGCCTTACAATCCTCTAGCTGATAACCCTTTTATCCAACCTAGGACTGGTTAAGGAAGAAGTTACTTTGTGGAGAGGAAAGGTATATTATGGAGTGTGGTATGGAACAGGTATCAGAGAAAACATGTAAACATCCACACTGAATTCATTTTCCAACCTTTTCTTCCCTCCCCCCTTTTCTCTGTGTAACAGCCCTGGAACTTAACTGTCCAGGCTGGTCTTGAACTCACAGAGATCCGCCTGCCTCTGCCTCCAGGGTGCTGGGATTAAAGGCGTTCGCACTACCACTGCATGACTAGTTTTCCAACCCTTAAGGGATGTGCTATGACACTTGGGAAATCCCATGCTTTCCTAACCAAAGGTCAACGGCAAAAAAGAAGTTATCCGACTTGACTCAAAACCACCTCAGGTAGAGTTTATCAAGCTCAATGAAAATGTACTAAATGCTCCTGGCCCCATAATTCTAGGTCATGTCAGAAAAGAACTCACACTCCACCAAGTCCCAGGCACATAATTGTAACTTCAATGCACAGGATTTCCTCCCCCAAACAAAAATGCCACCTCTAAGCTAAAAGTTACATCTTCTTGAGGATGAAGCCACTGATTTCTTCCCAGCCATAAAAATGTAAAAAAGATGTTTTATTTACAGCCATGGAAAACAGCTGAGGACAAAAGTTAATTGAATCCGAGAAGGATGTGGCTGTTTATCCCATAAGTAACAAGCCAGCCTGACCCTGCTGAGTTTCTGAGACCCAGGTGATGTCAGTAAAATGGTGTGGGATTTTTCCTGCCCCCCTCAAATTTGTTATTTATACTTATCAATACACACCAATTCTCCAGGCTGCCCAAAGGCCTGAGGTAGGACAAGTGAAGAGATACAGGAAAGCTAATTTTCATTATATGTTCTCTAGTTAAGGAGCCATGATACAAAATTAGAAAGTTGCTTTAAGTATTACAAGCGATACAGACCAGTGTAGTGTCAACCTTTGTAGAACGTCGTCTTCTCTTATTTTCACGTCCAAACGCTTGTACACTCAGCGGAAGGGTGTCTCTACATTCCTTAGCAGACAGCCTGCATTTTAGACTCACAAGCTATTTCTCTTCCCTGTGTTCTAAGGGTCTCATCTCAGGCATCGCCTCTAGCGAAATTTCCCCAGCCTTCCCCCTTCTTCGCACGCTCTCCTCACACCTGTGCTCAGCTCTAGTACAACAGAAGGTACTTTTCATGGAGTCAGTTTAGTCCACGTTTTTTAAGTCCGTTGTAAGCAATGACCACGCACTACTTTGCACTTTGTTGTCTCGAGACAGGGTCCAGGCTGGCTGGAACTTGTGACAGTCCTGCAGCCTCACTTTCCAGAATGCTGAGATTAAAGGTGTGAGCTACCGTACCAGCTTACCTCGCACCTTAACAGAACTCTTGAAACCTGTGTGCACGCCATAAACGCTCCAGTATTTGAAGGGTATCTACCTACGCCCAGTCTGTAAACCCTCTATCTAAAACTGGGCGAACGTCCACGCTCCTATTCTTTTTTCATAAACTAGTAACACTGAAGCTCTTACGGAACTGTCCTTTCATTGCGAACACGAAACTTTCAGCTCTGCTTTGGCTACCCTCTTTCTTCAGTAGACTTTGGAATTTCGGTAAAGCGTGCATTCCTATTAGGCAAATTAACATGCACCAACAAAGTTACGCGAGTGACGTGAAAATTCCCAACGGTAAAGCTTCTACTTAACAAGCAGCCAACTCCAAATTCCCTTTCATTGTTTTACGGCCTCCGTCTACCTTCCGCGCATGCGCCTTGCTAGTGCACCGCCCCCCCCCAAAAACCCTCTTGCGCACGCGCCGGTCCTGCTCCCTCCCCCCCCCCAACCCTGCCGCCCCCCGGCCTGGGTCACTAACTCCTCGGTTGCTCTCTTCTGTCAAGGCGCACAACTTGGCTGTAGTCCCCGCGCTGGTACTAACCGGTACTCGAACTCCTCGTCGTCGTATTTGTCCGAATAGTAAATTTGCTTGTGCGACATGACTGCTCCGCCCGAGGGCCCTCAGCCCCGCGCCGCCGGCCTCCAGACAACTCCGAGCAGCACGCGCTCCCACCCTCTTTGGCCTCGCTTTCAAACACACCGCCCGCGCTTCCCATTGGTCGCTTCGGCCGGAGGCGGGACAGCTCCATTTTGAGGCTCCCGATTGGCCTGCATCGGTGTCTCCGCGAGTCCGCGGTGCTCGGGTTTCTGAAGCATGAGCTGGGTCAAGACTAGGACTCTCATTGGCTCCCGCTGAGCCCCGGCATCCGCTCACGCAGCCATTGGCCGGCTTCGGAAAGCAGACGGGTGAAGGAGGGACGGCGAGGTAGGGGGTCAGGGGTTAGTGAGGCCGGAAGTGAGTGTAATAAAGTTTGTCGGGGAGGCTGAGGCCGGGGCAGAAAGTTGGGGCGGTGACTTAAGCCGACAGTTACGTGATACGGAACCAGATCGGCCCGCGGTCCGGTGCGGAGACTCCATGCGACCCTGGTGAGTGTAGACTTTCTCTCTGTGGCTGACCCACTCCTCCTCCACCCCGGAACCCTCTCCCTGGGCCCTGCTTCCGGTCGTGTTGTATAAGTCCCGCCCCCGAGACCCTCTCCCCGGAAGTCCCACCTTCCAACTTCAAGGGGCTCCCTGAACCCCTAGTTGTCTCAGTGTCGCGACCACACCCTGTCGTCCCACTTCCCTGGAAACCCTACCCCCAGATAGGTTTTCCTAGCTCCACAAGATTAGTCTCTTCAGCTCTCTGAAACTGGCCTCTCAGGATTCTCGACGAATCGTAGTCTATCAAAACCCTGGCTTCCAAAAAGGGGCAAAACTTGCTTTTGAAAGAACGGTCTGGCTTTGTAGGAGTGACGCCTCTCTGGGGGCCCGCCCCTCCTGCGCCCCGCCCCTTCCACTGTCCACGTCTGGTCCGGGAATGTGGCGCGTTCCTCGTAAGGAGACTTCTCTGTGTCGGGCTTGAGTCTTTGCCGCAAAACCCATGTCTTAAGTTCCGGACGCTTCGCCTGCTCCTCTATCCCTCTCCTTTCTTTAAGCCTTGGGTTTAGTTTTCCTGAGCTCTCGTGCTCCATCAGGTGGGGGGTTGAAATTTGTGATTGTAAGGAGATTATTGGCAGCGCCGTTTCTCCCGAAACCTCTGAATAAGTTGAAGGGGCTGGGTTTCGTTTTTTCCCGCAGTCGAATGGATAAGAGAGTGGCTTGGAGACTGTTGATCCCACTCCTTCCTGGGTCAGCCCCTCTTCCTGAGACAGCCATAGGTGGTACCTTCCTGTGGCTGGATTGCACTAAGTTTAGATTTGTGTGAACCTAACAGGAGTGGAAGTTTTTTGCCATCAGAAGAAAAAGTGTTTTGGAGTTGGGAGTAGGGGCTAGTGCGTTTTCCGTTGTTTTTAAAAGACCCCTCCTCCTAACCAGATGACTCCTGTTTGGCATTCATCCTGACCCCACTTGCCCGACCTTCCCCGCTGGAAACATTCCTGAGGCTTTCGCCATTTCCTGCTATTTCCTATCCCTCCAGCTTCCTCCCTGCTGGGCTGAGGTGAAAAACTCGGCGCTCCCCCAGCCACTACTACCTAGCTTTGGTCCCGAAGATAATCTCCCATCTTTTTTTTTTTTTTTTTTTTTTTTTGGTTTTTGGTTTTTCGAGACAGGGTTTCTCTGTATTGTTTTGGAGGCTGTCCTGGAACTCACTCTGTAGACCAGGCTGGCCTCGAACTCCCCGAGATCCGCCTGCCTCTGCCTCCCGAGGGCTGGGATTAAAGGCGTGCGCCACCAACGCCCGGCTTCTCCCATCTCTTTAAGCAAATTCAAAGGCTTATGCTCCCTTTTCTTCCAAATGTGCACACTGTTGGTCATTCATTGCTTCTGGACATGAACGCTCCCGGAGAAAGCCATCTCTTAAGATGAGGACATCATTGTGTGTGTTTGGAAGTGTATGGCTGTGGCAGAATTTCTCCTCATTCCCTAAGAACTTCTTTTCAGGAAGAAGTGCGATGTTCAGTAACAGCTCTCCTGGGATGGGGACTAAGGGCAGGTGAAAAAGCCGAAGAGTGGTCTTTAACCCATTTTAAGTGCTGCTATTGTTAATCACAATCATACAGTTTTTAACTCTCCAAAATAAACCTAAAGGTAGTTTGGAGGTGAGCCTGTATAAAAAGCTTCCTTTTACTTCTTGTATTTGTCCCCCCTCCCTTTTTTTTTTTAAAGGAAATAAGTGATAGTTTATTCTGGAGTAATGCTGATTGGTCACTTTCTTTAACTTCCTGATGGCCTTTAGCAGAGCTGTGGCAGGAAACTGTGGGCAAAGAAATATGGGTTTGGTGTTGTTATGCACTTAGGGCCAGATCCCAACCTCTGGTATCCCTCTCTCCTTCCTGTCTTTATAAACACTGATTTGTTTATGGCCCTATTATCCCTTTATGGCTTTTAGGCACCAGTTCTGGTTTTTTGTTTTTTCATTTTCAGACCTCTAAGGCCAACCCCAACCTCTCTACTAGTGTGAGGGACACTGTTGGGTGGAGCTTACAGCCTTTAAGGAGAGAAATATGTCTGTAGGTCCAAAGGTAGCCTAATCCCTCTACATCCTCTGAAAAGGGGTCCAGGAAGTCCATTGCCCTTGGTAGGTGACAAGTCTAAAGAACAGGCTTGCTCTAGCTCCCAGATGCACCACCCAGATTGGCCTTATTCCTCCTGTTTCAGCTTTCCTTTCCCTCTTGGCCTGAGTTTACACCCACTGGGACTACTTTCCCTTCCTGGGTCCTCCCTCTTGTCCACAGCTGTTGTGGCTGAGGATGCTAATGGCCCAGGTTCCCTGGGGCTGCCACCTCACTCACTGTCTGGTGGGGGTGGGGATGGTCTGGGCTGTAAGAGACATGCTAAACTCTAGATAACCCTTTCCAGCAGCCTCTGTTTTCTCCTCTATCCTCCTAACCTTCCTGGCTTCCTGCTCACTTTGGCTAGCTCATGTCAGTTTGGATTGATCCAGAGTTCCTCTTAACTCCTTCCTTTCTTCTTCTTATTCTTCCATCTTTCTCTCCTACCCGGCACCTTCATCCTTCCCAGATGGATGTTTGTATTAGGCAAGGGAGAGTGGCTGGGTAGCACACATTGTGTGGGGAGGTGTCTCTGCCCCTCTGAGTCTGTGAGTCAGCAGTGTCCTTGGGATTGGTCTCTCTCCTTAGTTCCCCGCCTCTGGGGAGGAGCCAGTCAGCTCTGGGTCCAGCCTGTACTCCTCAGCCATAAGAGGCTTCCTCGCCGGGCTGGGCGAGGATGTGGCTTGAAGCTGTCTAGGTCTGACGTGGGAGAGCAGAGGTCACTTGTCCTTCGCCTCTCTAGGTCCTCTGTTATCACCGGGCTGCAGAGGTCAGACCAGGCTAAGGGCCTGGGGATGCCCCCTGCCTGGCCCCCTTGCCTGACTTTGGCAGGGGGGCCGGGCTGGGCCAGGCAGCAGCCCCCCTTCTCAACCCAGCCATGGATCTTCTACCTCCCAAGCCCAAGTACAACCCACTTCGAAATGAGTCTCTGTCATCGCTGGAGGAGGGGGCTTCAGGGTCTACCCCTACAGAAGAGCTGCCTTCCCCGTCAGCCTCATCCCTGGGACCCATTCTGCCTCCTCTGCCTGGGGACGATAGTCCGACTACTCTGTGTTCCTTCTTTCCCCGGATGAGCAACCTGAAGCTGGCCAATCCTTCTGGGGGTCGCCTGGGGCCTAAGGGGGGGCCAGGAAAGACTGCTGAAGATGGGGAAGGGAATGCAGGGCCAGCCCTTAGGGACTCAGGCCTCTCGCCCCTCCTCCAGGACATGAACAAGCTGAGCGGAGGCGGCGGGCGCAGGACTCGGGTAGAAGGGGGCCAGCTGGGGGGCGAGGAGTGGACCAGACACGGGAGCTTTGTCAATAAGCCCACGCGAGGCTGGCTGCACCCCAACGACAAAGTCATGGGACCTGGGGTTTCCTACTTGGTTCGGGTGAGTGAACATCCTCCTTTCCGCCCCCTCCCATACCTATCCAGTTCCTCTGCTCACTCCAGATTTGCTGGGACTTCCTGCTCTTCCCCCAACATCTGTGGCATTCCCCCAGTTCCTAAACCCTGCCACATCCCTTCTCCAGTTCCATGCCCTCTGTCTAACCTGGGGGTCTTCTGCCTGGGTCCCCTTTCCTTTGATTCCTACCCCCAGCTTACTCAATGGCCAAGCACGTCAGAGGCTTTAGTAAGTGTTGAATGAAAAATGACTTCTGGACTCTTCCCTCTAGACTCCTCCCTTTTCTATAGATGTCACCCCATGCCTGCTACTCCTCACAATCTCTCCACAGTGCATGAAGGTCCTCTTGGGTGGCCCTTCTTCACTAGGGGGTGGTAGCCCCGGGCAGTAGGAAAGCTACTTCACCTTCGCTTCCTTTAGGGACTCCACAGGGCACAGTCCTAGAACCTTCTGCAAGGGGTGGGGGAGTGTGGGGCGGGGGAGGGGCAGCTGACCCATTCTTGCCTCCTTCCCCCACAGTACATGGGTTGTGTGGAGGTCCTGCAGTCAATGCGAGCCCTTGACTTCAATACCCGGACTCAGGTCACCAGGTTAGTGGAGAGCAGGTATACGGTTGGAGTCCCAGGCTTAGTGAAGTTACAGAAGTCTCGGTGCGGAGGAGGAGGGAAGTTGGGCATTTGGTGGTGGTGCTGATGCTAACTTCTCAGGGGTGGCCAAGAGAACTGAAAGTGACACAAGTGTGTCTGACTGGAAAGAGCCAGCTCTGGTCTGGAGCCCCACCTGACCCGTCCAGCCCTGGCGATGGTGGAGGATGGATTAGGAAAGGCTGCTGCTCTGGGAAGGGAATGGCACGTTTGGTGACTGGGAAGAGGTGGGGCTGCAGCCATCGAGGCCCTAACCCAATCAGCCAGGAAGCAGCCCCTCAGTGTCATCAAATATTAAAGGCCCTTAATTCAATCCACCACGACAAAGAGCCTGGAGTGCTCGGAGAGTCTGGCCTGATCTTCCCCTCCCCCAGCTCTGTGGCAGCCCCAGGCAGTGGGAGGCCAGGAGTGGGTCTGAGTACCCCTGTCTCTCCAGGGAGGCCATCAGCTTGGTGTGTGAAGCGGTGCCTGGTGCCAAAGGAGCAACACGGAGGAGAAAGGTGTGTGTGGTGGCTGTGGGGAGCCGGGGGGGGGGGGGGGGCCCGGGGGGGCGGGGGGCGGGGCAAGCGCAGGCACGGGGAGGACACAGGGATGTCTCCTGGCGACGGCAGTGCGCAGGTGCTGAGACGTGGGGCCTTTCCTAGCCCTGTAGCCGCCCACTCAGCTCTATCCTGGGGAGGAGTAACCTGAAGTTTGCTGGAATGCCAATCACTCTCACTGTGTCCACCAGCAGCCTTAACCTCATGGCAGCAGACTGCAAACAGGTGGGTGGAGCTGCTGGGAGGGACTGGGGTAGTTATGGGAGGATGGGGGGGATCTGGAGGCTAAAAACCCGGAGTCTTCAGGCACAGCTGGAGAGTAGAGGGAAGAAATTAGAGGGCTTGGGTATAGTGGCAAATGTAATCCCAGTACTTGGAGGCAGAGGCCGGTGTTTGAGGTCCAACTATACAGTGAAGCCCTGCACCCGTGCACCCCCCAGATAGAAGGAAATTAGGAGACTGTAGGATTAGAGGCCAAGAGAATGAGACTGGGGTGCCGAGGCTCTGACTGGGGTGAGGGTACACACTGAGCCCTGAGACTGCCTGACATTTACCGTCCCTTCCTTCTCCATCCCCTGCCCTCATCAGATCATTGCCAACCATCACATGCAATCTATCTCATTCGCGTCTGGTGGGGATCCGGTGAGTTGGGGAACAGAGAGGATGGGGGTGGTGAGAGACTAGGGGTTAAGAAGGAGGAGGGGGTGCTGTCCAGAGGATGGGTGTGGTGACACATGCCTCTAAGGACCAGGACAGCCATAGAAATTCTTTTTTGAAAAACCATGAGGGAGAGAGGATTGTGGGAGTATCTGAAAAGAACAGTCTTGGGGGTCAAATAAGATAGAGTTGGAGACTCTAACTGGTCTCTTGTGAATCTATCCTCTAGGACACAGCTGAGTACGTTGCCTATGTTGCCAAAGACCCCGTAAATCAGAGAGGTGAGGCTTGTGAGCAACACGGGGTAGGGCCAATCATCTGAGAACAAGTGGGATCTCTTTCTCATACTCTCACCAGCTATGCTTGATGGGGCTATCCTGCCGAGGATTGGGGTTGGGTCCTCCCGACACCCTACCTCAACTCACTGGCAGTTTGTACTGTGCCCCAGCCTGCCATATCCTGGAGTGTCCTGAAGGGCTTGCGCAGGACGTCATCAGCACCATCGGCCAGGCCTTTGAGCTGCGCTTCAAACAGTATCTCAGGAACCCACCTAAGCTGGTCACCCCCCATGACAGGTGAGCTGGCGTAAAGGGCATGAGGCAGCTCTAGAGCCTCAGGCTGGGGACTGGAATAGTTCTTTTCCCATGCTTGAGTTCCGAGGGTTCAGAAAAGGTAATGACCTATGTGACCCTGCCTCCTCCTTTCTACTGTGTTATGTCTCCAGTGGCTCAGCAGGGAAGTCTGTTGAGGGTCATGCCTGCTACAGGGACAGTTTCTTCCTTTTGTTTGCCTAGGGTGGGGTTATATTCCAGCACCTCCCTCTAGCTTGCCTTTTCTAGCTGGATGGACTCTGGCTCAGATTCCTCATTTTTAGCCTATCCCTGTATGGTTTATTTATTATTATTTTATGGTTTTTCAAGACCGGGTTTCTCAGTGTAATAGCCCTTGCTTCCTGGAACCTGCTCTGTACACCAGGCTGGCCTGGACCTCACAGAAATTCACCTGCCTCTGCCTCCTGAGTACTGGGACTAAAGGTGTGTGCCGTCGCCGCCACCACCCAGCTTATCCCTGTGTTCTTACATAGTTTTTTCCCCTTAAAGATTTTTTTGTTTTATGTGTATGTGTGTTTTACTGCATGTATGTAAGTGTATACAGTATCTGTGGAAGCCAAAAGAGGGCATTGGATCCCCTGGAACTGGAATTAAAGATGGTTTTGAGCTTCCATGTGAGTGCTGAGAACCAAACCCGGGTCCTCTGCATCATACTCCCCATTCACTGTTCTGTGCTTTCCTGCCCCTGAAGGTTATTAAGAATTTAGATTTTAGCCTGTTGGTGGTGGCGTACACCTTTAATCCCAGCACTCAGGAGGCAGAGGCAGGTGGATCTCTGAGTTGGAGGACAGTCTGGTCTACAGAGTGAGTTCCAGGACGGCTGGGGCTACTCAGAGAAACGCAGTCTCGAAAAGAAAAATCTAGATTGGGGAAAAAATATTTTCTTTTTTTCTGTATGTGTATGTGTGTTGGAGCATGTGTTGTGTGTGCAAATGTACTCACGTGTGTGTGCTTATAGAGAGGTCTCAAGTTGACATCAGATGCCTTCCTTTATTGCAGCACACTTTGTTTATTGACGGTCAAGGTCTTTTGCTGGCCTGGAGCTTGCCAGATTTGGCTAGGGCAACCAGCTTGCTCTGGATCCTGTCTCTGCCTCCAGAGTGCTGGGGTTACAGGTGGTCACCATTCTTGTAGAGTTGGCCTGGCTTGTACATGGGTTCTGGTGATCCAAACTTTGACTCTCACACCTTAGCCACTGACTGCTTCCCGTTCTAGCATCTCTTTTTTACCTGAGATCCCTATGGGTTTTTTGTTTGTTTTTGTTTTTTTTCAAGTTTCAAGAGATAAACAATGTGACCATCCTGAATATCTCTTTTTTTGAACAGTGCCTCCATCCCTCTGGGATACCATAGCTGTCAAAAGTGAGTTTTTGGTTTAAAACCAAATTAAATCTCAACTCTACCTCCTTTTAGTTGAGAGACCTTGTGCAAATCTCTCCAACCCCGATTTTTATTTTTAAAAATTGAAAGGAATACCAGCCTTACAGGGTTATAGCACCACGCCTCAGGTCTGACCCATAGTATACGTGTATGTATGCCTAGGATGTGATCAAGGTTCTCTTGGGTCTCTTGGCCACCACACATGTAAACCCACCTCACTCCATCCTTCGCTTTTCAGGATGGCTGGCTTTGCTGGCTCAGCCTGGGACGAGGAGGAGGAAGAGCCACCTGACCATCAGTACTACAATGACTTCCCAGGGAAGGAACCCCCTCTCGGTGGGGTGGTAGACATGAGGCTTCGAGAAGGGGCTGCTCGACCCACTGTGCCCACTGCTCAGGTGCCCAGCCACTTGGGAGCTACACTGGTAAGCTTGGAGGATGGAGACCGCCAGTCCAGGGTGGGAGTGGCTGGCTAGGGCCTTGGTCTCACCTGGTCTTTCTTACAGCCTGTAGGGCAGCATGCTGCAGGAGACCCTGAAGTCCCTAAACAGATGCTGCCTGCACCACCTTGCCCAGGCAGAGAGCTCTTCGATGACCCTTCCTATGTCAACATCCAGAATCTAGACAAGGCCCGGCAAGCTGGGGGTGGGGCTGGGCCTCCCAATCCTTCCGTTAATGGCAGTGCACCCCGCGACCTCTTTGACATGAGTGAGTGAGTCTCATAGCCCTACCTTCCTCTGTCCCTCCTTTTCCACTTGTTCTCGACTTCCTAGAGTCTGAGTCTTGGGGGTATGCTGGGCCAGTTCTGCTAGCCATCTCTCTACACCCTTAGAGCCCTTTGAAGATGCCCTTCGGGGGCCTCCACCCCCTCAGACCATGTCCATGGCCGAGCAGCTCCAAGGGGAGTCCTGGTTCCATGGGAAGCTGAGCCGGCGGGAAGCAGAAGCTCTGCTGCGGCTCAATGGTGACTTCTTGGTTCGAGAGAGCACAACCACACCTGGCCAGTATGTGCTCACTGGCCTGCAGAGTGGGCAGCCCAAGCACCTGCTTCTGGTGGACCCTGAAGGTGTGGTAAGTGGGCAGAGGTGTATGTAGCAGGTGGGAGAAAAAGGTACCTTTCTTTCCTCTCCTTATTGCTGTCTTTTTCGAGAAAGGGTTTCCCTGAAGCTTTGGAGCCTGTCTAGAACTCGCTCTGTAAACCAGGCTGGCCTCAAACTCAGATATCCCTCTGCCTCTGCTTCCTGAGTGCTGGGATTAAAGGTGTACGCCACCACTCTGCTGGCTCTGAGCTGTGTTCATTACAGTTCTGACCAGTCCTCCAATCTCAGACCTAGAAAGTTCTTACCTGATCTGTGCTCCTTTTGCCTGGTGAGGAAGTGACCCCGAGAAGGCAGTGACGCTTGACATGAGATGGTTATGGGGCAGAGACCCCAAATTTCCTCTTGAGAGGAGTCAGGAGTCTCCCTAGCTCTTTAGTCTCAAACTCAGTGTTCTTTTTTCTTCTTTTTAAAAAATCTGACTTGCCTGCTGGATATTGGTGGCTCACACCTTTAATCTCAGCACTCAGGAGGCAGAGGCAGGTGGATCTGTGTGAATTTGAGGCCAGGCTGGTCTACAGAGAGAATTCTAGGACAGGCTCCAAAGCTACACAGAGAAACTGTCTCAAAAAACCAAGCCCAAACAAACCAAACCAAACCAAAACCAAACAAAACAGAAGCTGACCTGCTTCACTAGTCCTCCATGCCCTCCATTGAGACAGCAGTTCCTTCAAGTCACCAGTTTCACTGTCCACAGACTCCCATGTGTGTGAATATCTTCTCTGTAAAGAAACGTCAATAGTCATGGCTGACCTGCCCTGGCCCCCATCTTCCTCAGTTTTGGGGACTAAGGTCTTACTGACTCTTCACAACTGATCCTCTTTCTTCCCGTCTTCCCAGGTTCGGACAAAGGATCACCGCTTTGAGAGTGTCAGCCACCTCATCAGCTACCACATGGACAATCACTTGCCCATCATCTCCGCGGGCAGTGAACTGTGTCTACAGCAACCCGTGGATCGGAAAGCGTGATCCTCAGTCTTTCCCGGATGCCCTCCATCCCTTTCTACCGTGTCCTCTAACTCCTGGGACCTCTGTTCTGTGGGGCTGGCCTTGGGTGCCCACCGGAGAGAGGGGGCTTTAGATAGGAACCTGGGGTAGCACCCTGCTTCTGCCCAAACCTCACCAAAGTATTAATGTACAGAGTGGTCCCTTGCCTGGGCCCTGTCTGTGCCAGCCTGATGCGCTTTCCCCCAGAGGGTAGGTTCTTACAGTGGAAAATGCGCTGGGGTGATAGGCCCAGTGGAGCAAGTGCCCTTTGGGGAAGGGAAATATCATACCTCTGGTTTACCCCTGGTCTTCAGGGTACCCCAGATCCCTCATAACATACCCTACTCCCTATGCATCCCCTTACAACTCTGTGCCTTTGACTGTCTCCTAGGTGTGTAGGTACTCTCTGCAGAGTTCTCAGGCCCTTCATTGTAGAGAGGGGGTGCTGACACCTCGGCTTCCGGAATCCTGTCATGCTCAGCACCTCTCTGTGTTTGGGAAGAATGGGGGCAGGAGTGGCAGCTACCTCCTCTGCCTTTTGGTTGTGCAGCCCTTAAGAGAGTGCCCCAAGCCGGGCTTGGTGGCACATGCCTTTAATCACAGCACCCAGGGGGCAGAGATGAGGATTTGTAAGGCCAGGCTGGTCTACAACAGAGTTCCAGGACAGCCAGGGCTATGTAGAGAGACCCTGACTCCAAAACCAAAGAGAGACAAGAGAGATAGCCCCAGGGCCCCCTCCTGGTGGCGGAGGGGGGGCAGAATTGGACCCCTGCCTTGCTCAGTGCCTCCTGGCCTTGATCCCTATCCTCCCAGGGGTCTCTACATTTCTTAAGCCTGCCCCTCCCACGTTTGCTCCTGTGTTACAGTCTACAGCCAAAGTATAGCCTTCCTGCAACCCCATCCGGTCTCGCACTTTTGGGATGGGTGTGCGTGGCTGACATGTGCCTCCAGTATGTGTACGGCTAACCTCGGGGTTGCGGAGGCATTGAGACCGAAGCAGTGGACAATCCTCAATTCCATTTGTAGGTCTGGAACTGCACTCTGTGTTGTTAACACACATACATTTTAGGGCTGTAGATTTTTTTCCTGGTTTTGTTTCTGTTGTTTACTTTTGAGCACAAAGTATGATAGTCGATTACATTTATATATCACCTTGAGTTTTCCAAACTTTTTTTTTAAATACAACTGTTGGGATTTTACTCTCTCTGGCCTAAAAATAAATAGGACAGAATTCCTTTTTCTTCTTCCTCAAGAGACCTGAGCGGAAGTTTGGTTAAACAGTATTGTGGGGTCATGATGTGAAAGCTAATGTCAAACCCTACCTTCTGCTTGCGGGCCTTGCGGGCTGATACAGCTAGGACAGAAAGAAACTTTAGAAGCGCACCTGTAAGGCCTTGTGGACATGGGGTGGGGGTGTAAGACTGGTTTTCAGTCTTGGCCGTCGCCTACTTTTGGTTTGGATGCTTTATACCAAAGGGAAATAGTCTTCATTAAAGTCCGTATTTCTTCTACCTCGGCGCCTCAACACCTCTGGAAAGTCTGGTTGATGAGGGCGTCAGTGGGAGGTGGCGGTGGACCCCACCTGGGCTAAGTCCATTGGGCTCAAAGCCAGCGCCAGCCCGCGGGAGGATTTGGGGGCCAGTGAGGCTGCGCGGTAGGGACGTATCTGAAAGGCGATTGGTTCGCGGTAGGAAGGGGCGTGTCCGGACCGCCCCCAGGCCCCCAGGGAGCTCGCGCGCCCGCTGTCGTGCGGTGCACCCCACAGCTGCGGGGCCAGCTCGGCCAGCCTCAGCCGCACTTCGGAGGAGTGGCGTGGCGAGGCCCAGCCTTCCTGGGTGCAGCGTCTTAGCCCTTCCCATCTTTCCCCTCCCTACCGCGCTCGGTGGCGGCGACCCATTGGAGTTCCGGTTCCGGTTGCTGTGGCCGTGGGCGGGCGGTGAGTCTGGAGCAGGCGTGCAGTTGGTGCTCTGGCTCTGTGACTCCCTCTCGGCGTGTCTAGGGCTTGCTGCAGCTCGGGGGTGCTGCGCTGCCCCTGACTCCCCTCCGGGCGATGGTGCGGCCTGAGGACGCTTCCATCCCCCGCCGACGCTGACTCGGGTCCCCCAATCCATGGCCGCCTCGGCGCCGCCCCCACCGGACAAGCTGGAGGGAGGCAGCGGCCCCGCACCGCCCCCCGCGCCGCCCAGCACCGGGAGGAAGCAGGGCAAGGCCGGTGAGAGCGCAGAGAGGGGCGGGGGCTGTCGAGGCCCAGGACCCTGGACCCTCGTAGGGAAGGGATGGGGGCTGGGGAGGTTGCCTAGGCACTGGAGGTGGTCTCAGGTGGGAAGGGTTTGTGGTTGGGGGCAGGTGTCACAGATCACTTCAGGTTTTGGAGCCGGGTATCTTTGATTTCAATGAGATGTAGGATCGTAGCTTAGAGTGTAGTCATACTAGTCATTTTTCATATTTTACCCCCGTTTCTGAAATAAGTAAGCAAGTGTACGTGGAAGTTAGAGTCTGGAAAGTGGCTGGGAGGAAGGAGACAGTAGAACCTCAGGAAAACTTGCCTCGTCTGCCTATTGCTGCTCTTCCAGGTCTGCAAATGAAGAGCCCTGAAAAGAAACGAAGAAAGTCCAACACTCAGGTAAATGGGAATCCATAGTGGGAGTATTCCAAGAAACCCCTCCCCGCTTTGTCTGTCTGACTGTCTGTCTGTCTGCCTGGCTGCCCGCTTGTGCCTTGTTCCAGGTGGAGGGAGGGGTGAGGAAAAGCAGAGATACTCTCCTCTCCTTTCCCTCTCGGGTCCTAGCTCTGTGCCAGCGTTTAGCCCAGCCCGGCCTTCCTCCTTTCGTGTTTCTTCCTTTGTGAGACAAGATCTCATGTATCCCAGACTGACTTTGTATTTGCTGTGTAGCCAAGGACGACTTTGAATCTATGATCCTGCTTTCTCTTCCAAAGTGGTGAGATTACAGATGTGCATCACCATACTGGTTTTCTGCAGTGCTAGGAACCCAAGGACGAGTGCTAGGTGCCCTCAGAGGCCAGAAGAGAGGGTCAGAGTGCCCAGGACTGGAGGTACAGGTAGTTGTCAGCTGTGAGCAGCAAGTGCTCTTAAACCGGTGAGCCGTCTCCAGCCTGTACTCACTGTTTTGAGACAAGGTGCCCAGCTCGGCTTCGATGTCTTAGCTCATCTGCTTCACTCTCTGAAGTGCTGGTATTTGCTGGCATATCTCACCAGGCCTAGTTTGCTGAGTCTTTCCTAGGGGTCCATGCTACAGTGCTTTAATGTTTGTTCTTATTAGAAAGGCTGAGAAAATAGGAGACTTTTAAAAAGTAAATATTCAGTACTGAGTGTTTGCCTAGTTAGCTTGCACAGAGCCCTGAGTTTTAGCCCCAGCGCTTTGTAAACTGAGATGGAGTCGTTCATTTCTGTCACAGTACTCCAAAGAATGAGGCAGGAGGATGGGGATAATGAGGATTTCAAGGTTATCTTCAGCTACAAACTGAGCTTGAATGCAGCCTGGTTATATAAGATACTGTCTGGTGGGGGGGGGCAGGATTAATTAACTGCTTTGGGGTCAGTCCTGGGTTTTGGTATGATTTTTGTCTTTTTTTTTTTGTTTGTTTGTTTGTTTTTGTTTTTCAAGACAGGGTTTCTCTGAGCCGGGCATTGGTGGCGCACGCCTTTAATCCCAGCACTCAGGAGGCAGAGGCAGGCGGATCTCTGTGAGTTCGAGGCCGGGCTGGACCGATAGCCTCCAAAACAATACAGAGAAACCCTGTCTCGTAAAACAACAACAACAAAAAAAAAGACAGGGTTTCTCTGTATTGTTTTGGACGCTCTCCTGGAACTCTCTTTGTAGACCAGGATGGCCTCGAACTCACAGAGATCTGCCTGCCTCTGCCTCTTGAGTGCTGGGATTAAAGGCGTGGCATGCGCTGCCACCGCCCGGCTTGTCTGTATTTTTATAAGTTCAGTTATTTTGTTATCCTTAACTGTATGTATGCATATGGGTCTCTATGTGCATGCGAATGCAAGTGCTGGCAGAAACCAAAGGTGTTACACCTCTGGAGTTGTAGGCCATTATTGAGCCCTCTAACATGGGTGCTGGGAATCCAACTCAGGCTCTTAACCGGTGAGCTAGCTCTCCGGCCCTGTCTGCTGGGTTTTGTTTCGTTTTTTAAAAAACAGTGCTGTTGTGGGCTCCACCTCCCGCCCCCTGTCATGTCCTAAGGTCAGTCACGGTTTTGGGTCTGAGCTGTGTCAGTCTTCAAAGAGTATATTGTGTTTGTGGTGCTCGTGTCCCATAACATCTTCCTCCTGTTTTCACTAGGGTCCTGCATACTCACATCTGACAGAGTTTGCACCACCCCCGACTCCCATGGTGGACCATCTGGTTGCTTCTAACCCTTTTGAGGATGACTTCGGAGCCCCTAAGGTGGGGGGTGCAGGCCCTCCATTCCTTGGCAGTCCTGTGCCCTTTGGAGGCTTTCGTGTACAGGGGGGCATGGCAGGCCAGGTACCCCCAGGCTATGGCACTGGAGGAGGAGGGGGTCCCCAGCCACTTCGTCGACAGCCCCCTCCTTTCCCTCCCAACCCTATGGGCCCAGCTTTTAATATGCCTCCTCAGGGCCCTGGCTATCCACCCCCAGGCAACATGAACTTTCCCAGTCAACCCTTCAACCAGTCTCTGGGCCAAAACTTTAGCCCACCTGGTGGGCAGATGATGCCGGGTCCAGTGGGGGGATTTGGTCCCATGATCTCCCCCACCATGGGGCAGCCTCCTAGAGGTGAGCTGGGTCCTCCTCTCCCCCAACGCTTTGCCCAACCAGGAGCTCCTTTTGGTCCTTCCCTTCAGAGACCTGGTCAGGGACTTCCCAGCCTGCCTCCTAACACAAGTCCCTTCCCTGGTCCAGACCCTGGTTTTCCAGGCCCTGGTGGTGAGGATGGGGGAAAGCCCTTGAATCCACCTGCTCCCACTGCTTTTCCCCAGGAGCCTCACTCAGGTTCCCCAGCTGCTGCTGTTAATGGGAATCAGCCTAGTTTCCCCCCCAGCAGCAGCGGCCGAGGTGGGGGCACTCCAGATGCCAACAGCCTCGCACCCCCAGGCAAGACAGGTGGAGGCTCAGGGCCTCAGCCTCCCCCGGGTCTGGTGTACCCTTGCGGTGCCTGTCGGAGTGAGGTGAACGATGACCAGGACGCCATTCTGTGTGAGGCCTCCTGCCAGAAGTGGTTCCACCGAGAGTGCACCGGCATGACGGAGAGCGCCTATGGGCTGCTAACCACCGAAGCCTCTGCAGTCTGGGCCTGCGATCTCTGCCTCAAGACCAAGGAGATCCAGTCTGTCTACATCCGAGAGGGCATGGGGCAGCTGGTGGCTGCTAACGATGGGTGACTCTGGTGGGGCGGCTTAGGGAAGTGCACATTTCTTACTGTGCCCGTGCAGAGTAACTATGTGGCTCTCCTCCTCGTTTTCCACCGCTTCCCATCACATGGAGCAGAAATACATGGTTTCTGGAAACGGAAGAGGAACTGAGGCGGACAGGCAGAAGAGCCTGGCTTGCTCGCTTGTTTGTTTGTCTGTTTCCTGGGAACTTGTGCATCGAGACCTTTGGAGATAGAGGAAGCTGAAGCTCGCCCACTGAGCAGAGCATTCCTAGAGCCTAGCTGGAGGCTGCAGGAGAAGAGGGCTGGAGGACGCTCCAGATGACAGATGACCCTAACACCGGTGCCTATGTAGCTCTGTATGTAGCCCCAGAGCTACTGCTGTAGCTTTTGGAGTCACGTGGTCAAAGTTTCTTCGCTCACTGAGATGTAGTCCCTTTTGTTGGTTCTGGAAACAAATGGGGATTCTCGTCTTTCCCTTTGCTTCCCCTAGACCCATCTTACTCCTTTCTCCTCAGAACACCAAATACCTTGAAGAAGCAGAGTTCCTGACTCGGGCAGTTGCTTGTCTGGGGGTCAAGACTGTAGATAAGAGATGCTGAGAAGACATCTTCCTCACACCAAAGTCACTGGTCCTTTCTCAGCTTCTCTTGTGCTTTTCTCTCAGTGACCATGTTTTTGCCAAAAGTTGGGATGTGGTGGGTCTGACCAGAGTATTTGAAGTTTGGGCTCCCCTGGAAGTCTGGACTGGAGACATTAACCCCTTCTTTCCCGCCTATCTGCTGCACATTATGATAGCGCTGTTACTCAGCTCTTGGTGCCCCCATTTCCTCTGCCTCGGGAAAGTTTGGGAAGGCACGAAGCCCTTATACCTCATTCCTTCCCTGATAAAAGGATCCAAGTGAGGCCCTGCTGTGGCTTTGCAGAGGTGGGGGTGGGCAGCAGGATCCTCAAAGCCATGGTACTAAAAGCTAGAAGAACCTGAACTTTACAGCTTCACCCTTTTTTATCATCCGGGCCTGGTGATCCAGCCACTAGGCTTGGTTTATTTTTATTTTTGTAGCATTCCCCACCAGTGATGAGACTGGGACTCAGCTTCTCTTACCCTCTTCCTAGCTAGCCTGTGTGCCCTTTATATGGGGGAGGAGAGCAAGCTTGGGTGTGGCCCCTTTGGGGAAGTCTCGGTGCCCAGCGCTAGGCGTGGTAACAAAGGCCCTCTCCTGTCTTGCCCCGCTTGTTATGTTCCCTGCGCATGGAGAGAGAAGACATTGATGGAGTCCAAGCCTCTGAAGCTGAGGAGGAGGGTGGACCTGCTCCCTACTCTGCCCCCAACCTGTAAACTTCATGTGGCAGCCTCTGCTCACCTTTGTGTTGTGTTGTGGTTCTGTTTACTCCTATTACCTGTTGCTACTTTTGTGTTGTCTTCATGGTTTGTAAAATGCACCTGGGGAGGGTCCATCCCCATTTTCCTCTCTGCTACTTTCTGGAGGAAGGTGGGTTGGCAGAGATGTGGTTACAGGATCTTTTTTATATGGTTGGACTAATAAAATGACTTGAAAATCCAAACAAGGACTCCTTTGTTAATTTGAAAACAGAAAACAACAAAAAAATTTGGCTAATCAGATGGTGTTCCTGCGAGGAGGATGCGCAGAGGGCAAGGCTGTCCCTGCTCTCCATGCCCCCAGCTGCCCTGCTGGAAGCTGAGAAGGACCCCAGTGTCCCTGCTCCACCTTGTGTCCTTGGGATGTGGGAAACCTTGGTTTTGGACCAATACTTGGGCTAGGCTGGAAGCCAGGCAGTGTTGGAGCCAAGGCCTCTGGCATGTGTTGAGCTTGGTTTCATCCGGGGTTCCCCATCTCTCAGTTTCCCTACCTTCAACAGATTTCTTGTTTTTTCAAAGTTTTGTTTTAGGGGCACAGGGCACACAGGGAGATAGATTAGCAGGTAAAGATGCTTTTGGCCCAACCTGGGCAGTTGAGCTCACTTCTCCAAACCCATGTAGTGGAAAATGAGAACTGACTTGGCAACTTGTCCTCTGAATGACACATGCTCCAAGGCAGGTGTGTACTCACACACAATGTATTTTTTTAAATTGAGTTTGGGGGCTGTAGAGATGGCCAGCAGTTAAGAGCACTTGCTGTTCTTGCAAAAGACCCAAATTCAATTCCCCACACTCAACGGCAACTCGAAATCATCTGTAACTCTAGTACTGGAGGATTCAATACCTCAGACATGCAACAAAACACCCATATTCATTTTTAAATGCTTGTTTCCTTTTCCATGCTGGAGATAACGGTGCTCCTCCAGTGAGTCACATCCAGGCCCGAATTTTAGGTGGATGCTTTTCTGCCTCTGTTCTAACGTTCTTTTTGTTTGGTTTACTTTGGTTTGGGTTTGGGATTTGTTGAAACAATCTTGCTTTGTGGCCTGGGCTGTCCTTTATCATGCTCCTGCTTCAGTCTCTTAGTATTGGGATTATAGCACCTGACTCTTTTTTAAAAATTAATTACCTTGTGTTGGTGTATGTGTTGGTGTATGTGCACCTGTGGAGGCTGCCCACCGAGCCATCCCCCTGGCTGCCCTCTTTTTTGTTGCTGTTTGTGAGGCGTAGTCTTACTATGCGCCCTAGCTGGCCTGCAACTCACTATGCATCAGGCTGATCTCGAACTCATAAAGATCCACCTGTCTCGGCCTCCCAAGAGCTGGAGTTAAGGGCGTGCACCAGCACGCTTGGCTGTCCTCCATTTTCAAAGCAATGGCACTTTCAGTTTGCCGGCAGGAGGGCTATTTCTAAACCACAACTTGCACCGGACCCCATCCCCCATGCTACAGCTGTCTCTGTCTATCCTGGGGCCAACATGGCACCTGGTCCTTGCTATACCATCAGACAGCACCTTTCAGTTTTAGATCTCCCTATTAGACACTAAACATTTTGAAAAGGGGGGAGGTTCCCCCAAAAATTAGTTATCTGGGGATCACAGTCACCCACCAAGAAATAAACCAAGGGGGAAGTACTCCGCATGTCTTCTTTCCTCCCCCTCCCCCGCGCTCCGCCCGGGAGATCAGGTACAGCATTTATTGGTCAAAAGTTCCCCCTACCCTCCACCCGTGCGGGGAAGGCGACTTGTCACTGGCCAAACACCAGCCACGTGACTCCCCTCTTTTTTTTTTTTTTTTTTTTCTTCCTGGGCTGAAAACCTGGGGAGGTTATACGAAGTTAAACTGAAGACTGAAGCGAGAGCTGGGTCAGGTAAATCCCTAGCTGGAATGGGCCGACAGACCCCCAGTTTATCCCCCGATACAAAAGGAGGGCAGAGCTGTATAAAAGGAATGGGTACCCCGCCCCACTGCCTAACGCCGGACTTAAGGGCGGAGAAGGAGGGGGACGGATGATTCCGAAGCAGGAACTCAGGCAAGGTTTTGTGGTCCCAGGTCCTTCGCTTTAAAGGTCAGAGAAGTCTGTTAGCGGGAAGTGAGCACCTAACCAGACTTCGCAGCTTTGTGCTGAGTAGGAGCACTCCCGCGGGAGTCAGTGACAATCCTGACAATCCTGAGTGAAAAGGGGAGAGCAGGGAGCGGGTTTTCTTCCTAGAGGTCAAAGACGTAAGAGTTCTGAAAACACAGCTAAGAAGGGAGGCAGCTCAGCAGCCGCACAATTTCTTACAGGGCTTCCTAATAAGGCATCGCTGTGTGAACTAGGAGAGCAGGGATGCGTTCTGACATCGATGTATGGCCTAGGAGAGCAGGGATGCGTTCTGGCATCAGGGTTTGGGACCCTGAGTGCAGGCGTTCCAGGAAGTCCCCTGCTTAGGTTTCAGGTTTGTCTTGTTGACCCAAATACCATACCATTGCTGGTTTCCATGGAGACAGTGGGTCTGACATCACCCTGGTTGCCATGGTGCTTAGCTCTGGAGGACAGGAGCAGGCTGTAAACCCGGGACTTCTGCTCAAGCTGCTGCCACTTCCTTCCTCCTGCCACCTGTTGACAGTCACACACAGCAACTGGGATTGGGACAGGACAGTCGAGGGAGGAGCTGCCCAGGACAAGGACTAGGATAGCTGCCTGGGGAGGTTCTTTGGGACCTGGTATAGGGAACTCATTGCAATCATTCTGCCTCCCTGTGGGATGCGTGCCGGTGTCTCCCTGGCACTGAGAGAGACACCATTAGACGTCCTTTGCCTATCTTGACTGGCCAGAGTTGCAGAAGTTTATAAAGTAACCATGAGGGGCTTAACCCCTGCTGGAAAACATAGACCCCATTTCCTTCTCAGTGTTCTCCAGTCCTTCTCACATCTGCCTTCTATGCTGCTGGGGACTCGGTGGGTCAGCTTGTCTGCCACTGCTTCCTCATGCTGATCCCAGATGCAAATCCCTAGGCCAAGGGCACGCCTTGCTTAATGCTGGGGGTCACACCCTAACCCCACTTGTCCTCCAAGGGACAGGACCAGCGGCCCAGTCCCCACCCTTTTTTTTTTCAGACATGGTTTCTCTGTATCGTTTTGGAGGCTGTCCTGGAACTCGCTCTGTAGACCAGGCTGTCCTGGAACTTACAGAGATCCGCCTGCCTCTGCCTCCCAAATGCTGGGCCCCCACCCCTTTTTGTTGCAAATTTTAATGTGATTTATGGATGGTAATCGCCACAAACCTTTCTTCTCTCCAGTCACTTTCACGATCCCTGAGATCAAACTCTGTAGAACTTACGGTGGAGAGAGTGAAAAGGAGTGTGACTAAATGTGTGCCCAGGAGGACTTAGCTCTCCCAGGCCTGCTGGGCAGAACGCTTCCTGCCTGGCCTAATTCCACTCACTTCAATGGCAGTCTTAGCCGAGCCAGTGCTGAGAACTCATAACGCAGTGGTTCTCAACCTTCCTAACGCTGTGACCCTTTAATACACTTCCTCATGTGGTGGGGACCCCCAGCCATAAAGTCAGTTTGTTGCTACTTCATAACTGTAATTTTACTACTGTTATGAGTCGTAATAAACAACTGACAGAGGAGTTGTGGCCCACAGGTTGAGAACCACTAACCTAAACCAAATGGTGGAGAACTGATCGGCGGATGGGTGCTGGGACCCGTGGCCTGAAGGAGACCGGTGTGTCTTCCCTTTGGGCTCTGTGGGAGGACTCTAGGGACTATGGAGGACCCAGGTATTGTGAAAGGGACGCAGGTCATTTCCCTCTCTGAGATGCCTCCCCACGGGCCAGAACACCAGGGGGAGGGGTTGGACTTTTCAGCCTTTGGCCTCTTTGACCTTTCAAGGCCAGTGCAGTTTCCCAAGGCCCTGTAGCTCCTTGGGAGAGGCAGCTTCCTGGCTTCTAGCAAGATGAATCCTGCCAGGACAGCATGGGGTTGGGGCAGAAGGACTGAACTTCCCTGGGTTTCGGAGACTACTGCCCAGCTTTTTTGGGGTTTGTTTCTTTTTTCTTTTCTTTCTTTTTTTTTTTTTTTTGGTTTTTCGAGACAGTGTTTCTCTGTGGCTTTGGAGGCTGTCCTGGAACGAGCTCTTCTTGTAGACCAGACTGGTCTCGAACTCACAGAGATCCATCTGCCTCTGCCTTCCGAGTGCTGGGATTAAAGGCGTGCACCACCACCACCCAGCAGCTACTGCCCAGTTTTTGATGCCTGGAGTCCTGCTTTTGCTGTCTGCCTCCCCTGATGGGAGTTCCCTCCTCCTCTTCCTCCTCCTCCTTCTCTGTAAAACAATTTTATTTATTTATTTTTAAGATTTATTTTTATTTTATGTACATTGGTGTTGTGTCTATGTGAAGGTGTCAGATTCTCTGGAACTGGATTTACAGACAGTTGTGAGCTGCCATGTGGGTGCTGGGAATTGAACCTTAGCCAGTGCTGTTAACGGCTGAGCCATCTCTCCAGCCCAGGAACTCCTATTCTTAAGAGAGCTTTTCTTTGCAGGTGGTCACTCTAGCAACCCTGGACTGCCACAACTATGGCCTCCTCCTGCCCAGACTCAGATAATAGCTGGGTGCTTGCTGGCTCTGAGGTATGAACAGTGGGTCTGGAAACTATGTGGGGGGGGGGACTCCTACAGGGGTGGACTTCTTTGACTGGAACCTGCAGGAAGAAGGGTCCCAAACAGTGAGGTATTTAGTGGGAGTATCAGGGACTGGGAATGAAGGAGACAAAAGCCATAGCTGGGACTAGGAGGCCTTGTACAAGCTGGTGACTTACACCCAATAAATAAATTTATTAAGTACAGCATCTTAACTACTATTTACAAGGCCAAAGTCAGCAGAGAGCTAAATCAGACAACGTTGGCAAAGAACACAGGATACCTCAGCCTTAGGATTGATATCCATAGTACAGGGGGAAGAGTAATGTCACCAGAATACACCTTGACTCCTTCGAGGCACTGGCTCCTGCCCGAGACCAACCTTGTCAAGTCTGCTCATGGACTAGGACATAGAACTAAAGTTCCCTTTGTCCTTCATGAGGACCTCTGAGAAAGTCTTGGATTGGTCTGGCTCCCAGCACTGTTTTCTGGATCTGTCCTGTTTTCTTGGCCGTGATGGTCACCTGCATTGCCTCTGTTGACTTTTATGGGGCTCCCATGGCAGGGAGGAGAGTTGGCACAGAGAAGGGACCAGATGGGTAAGCTGAGAAAGGAGAGGGACTTCCGGTGTGAGGCCAGCAACAGAAGGTCACAAGGTGACAAAGGAGAGCCATGCTGAGGAGACTGAAGAGTCTTAGGGTGCGGGGTAGACCTGCTACCATCCGTATTGGAATGTTACAAGCTAGAGACTAGGAACCCGAGGAGAGACTCGGAGGACCCGTGGAGGCACCGGGTGTTACTGTTGCTGTGATGAAACACCAAAGCAACTTGGGGACAGAAGGGTTTATTTCAGCTTATACTGCAGGTAACAGTCCGTCACTGAGGAAGTCAGGGTAGGAACTCAAACAGGGCAGGAACCTGGAGGCAGGAGCTGATGCAAGGGCCATGGAGGGGTGCCGCTTACTGGCTTGCTTTCCATGGCTTCTCAGACTGTTATAGAACCCACGACCACCAGCCCAGGGATGGGCTGGGCCCTCCCATCAATCACTAGTTGAGAAAATGCTCTACAGGCTTGCCTACAGTCTCATCTATGGAGGCATTTTCCCAGGTGGGGTTCTCTCCTCCCAGATAACACTAGCCTGTGTCAAGCTGACACAAAATTAGCCAGCACAGGTGTCAGCGGATGAGCAGACTGTGCAGAGCCGCTGAGCTGGAGAGCAGCCCAACACTGAGTGTTGTCAGCAGGGGACCAAGCCTCTGTGTGGCTGGGTGGGAACAGGGGTACTGCTTCCAAAGCCTTTGTAGCCTACCAGGTGGTATTTGGTAGGACAGGAAACCAGAGGGCTCCTGATGCCACCAAGAAGGGAGAAGGACTGGCGGATTGGGAACTAGTAACTAGAGAGGTATGGTGAGGATCTCAGAGACTTCTTAGGACCTCTAGAAGGAACTGGATGGCAGGGCGTTGGTGGCGCACGCCTTTAATCCCAGCACTTGGGAGGCAGAGGCAGGCGGATTTCTGTGAGTTCGAGGCCAGCCTGGTCTACAAGAGCTAGTTCCAGGACAGCCTCCAAAGCCACAGAGAAACCCTGTCTCGAAAAAAACACACAAAAAAAAAAAAGAAGGAACTGGACGTGGAGGAGCAAGCTATGATCCTACTACTTGGGAGATGGAGGCAGGAGGATCAGGAGTTCAGATACATGAAACCTTGTATCAACAAATCAGTGAATTAAATAAAAAACAGTAGCTAGAGAGGCCACAGAACTCCATTTAGACATGTTGAATTTGAGGTGCCTCTTAGGAGCCCAGCTGGGGGTGAGGAGTTGACCTCAGCAATGACCCTGGAGTGGAACACAAGGACCAGTGCTCACTGGCAGGCACTAAAATAGGATCTGTGCTTAGTCAGTCCTGGTCTCCTGTCATGGTGCCTTTGTTGACAGCTGGGGACCTGGGTCAAGTGTTTCATCTGTCCACCCTCCATTATAAACCGGAATTTCAATCCTTGCCTTGCAGGGGTGATCCTGAGAAATTGTGATTTGTAAATTACAAAGAACTATATTAAGGTTAAAATTACTCTTGAGCTGGGGATGGTGGCGCACACCTTTAGTCCCAGTTCTCAGGAGGCAGAAGCAGGTGGCTCTGTGAGACTGAGGCCAGCCTGGTCTACAGAGAGAGTTCCAGGACAGCCCAGGGCTATGTAGAGATGCCCTGCTCCCATCTATCTATCTGTCTGTCTGTCAATCATCTATTCATTTTTGGAGGGTCGGGGCGGATGACTCAGTGGGTAAAGCACTTGCCACATAAACATGAGGCCCTGAGTTCAGGTCCTCCAAACCCACTAACACTGAATATGGCAGTACAGGTTTGGAATCTTGGTGTTCCTATAATGAGATAGCAGTTGGAAACTTAGAAGTCCGAGGGCCAGCTAGTCTGAAAATACAGAGAAAGTATTCTCAAAAGAGGTGGAAGATGAGGGCTGACATTGAAGTTAGCCCTTCTCTTCGAGACAAACTCTTACCATGTAGCCCTGACTGACCTGGAACTTGCTATGTAGACCAGGCTGGCCTGAAATTTGCAGAAATTCATCTGCCCCTGCCTCCTGAGTGCTGGGAGTAAAGGCCTGTGCCACCACACCTGGCTGAGGCTGACTTGGCGCCTCCACACTCATACTGTGTATGTGCGAGCACACACAGAGATTGAGAGAGAGTGAGATTAAGACAAAGAGAGGGAGAGAGGAGTCCTGGATGGGGTGGGCAGGTGGCAGGCTGCCAAGGAGTCATATGCAGAAAAAGTTGGCCAAGCTGAGTAGTCAAAGCTGAAGGGCCAGGCTGTGAGCCAAGTACCAAGGGGTCAGGCTGCCTGTGGCTAGGGGTAGTTGGGTTTCTGCCAGTAGCTGCTGGGAGATGGCTGTCAGGGGAGTGTAGGCCAATGGAAAGGCCAGAGAACTCAGAGGATGGATGCGTGGTTGGGGAGGAGACAGAACGGAACTGTGGCCTGGCTCTGGGTCCAGATTGGGTTGTTGGCTTGTGGGGAGGGCAGCCCTAATGTTAGGGGGGACCCCAGATACCATTGGCCTCCCTCAGGCTCTGCTAGACTAATCCCCTGGTCCCAGATCCTTGCTCAAGGCTGTGATTTCACAGAAACCCGCCCTCTGGAGCAGTGAGGAAGGTTAGGGAGTTGCTGAGGGGAGAAGACACTTAGGAAATAGCCCCAGAGTGGCATGGGCCATCGTTTTTGAGATCTGGGCTGAGATGTCTGAGGGCAGCTAGCCCCTCAGCTTCCATCAGGGCATCCGTCCTACTGCTGGTTTTGTCCTGACGTCCTGACAAAGTGTCCTAGTGCTCACCTCCCTCTCCATAGAACCTGCCTGTGGAGACTCTGGGCCCAGAACCCAGGATGGACCTAGAATCTGAGGGAGTCTCTCAGGTCCTTTTGGACCCCTCCAAGGCAGATGGCGAGGAACTAACTGGGACCTTGGATGGAGAAGGTAATGGGGCCTTGTGGAAGGTTGGGCACACACTGTCCTGTCTTTGGGGGCTTCCTTTCAGTTGGGGGAAGGGCGATCACCTAGGCTATTTGCTTGCTAATCTTGGTTTATATGCTGCAGCACTCCAGAGCGGCTGGGGCCTGTGGGTGCTAGAGGGTTACAGTGAAGTTCAGGTTGGGGCTGTGGGGCTTCCTGGGCTTTCTCTTCCACCACAGGGAAGCTTTTCCAGACAGACGGTTCCCAGAATGAAAGCGCTACGCTGCCTGAGGAGATGAAGGTGAGGTGCTTCTCTGGTGCTGGGAAGAAGGTGGGGAGAGCATGTCTCATAGCTGTACCCACATCAGGGCACTCTGGGACAGGATGGCCACGGGATGGAGCCCCCTGGAGACACAGTTATCCAGCAAGATCTGCAAGAGACTCTCGTGGCGACAAGCCTGGGACCAGACACACAGGACCTGGAAAATGAGAGTCCTCCCCAGAACCTGCCCTCAAGTCCCAAAGCAGGTCAGAGCCCTTGTCTCCTGTTTCCCACCTTTTAGAAAGTATGGCGTGTGTGTGTGTGTGTGTGTGTGTGTGTGTGAGTGTGTGAGTGTGTGTGTGTGAGTGTGTATGTGTGTGGTGTGAGTGTGTGTGAGAGAGAGTGTGTGTGTGTGAGTGAGTGTGTGTGTGTGTGTGTCGGGATGGCTCAGCAGCTGAGAGCACTGGCTGCCCTTACAGAGAACCTGCATTCAATTCCAGCACCCTTATGGCAGCTCACAACCATCTGTAACTCCAGCTACCACAGACCTGATGCCCCATTCTGACCTCCAGGGGGGCACACATGGTTCACAGACATAGGCACATTAGCTAAAATAAACATATATAAAAATGTAAAAATAGGGACTGGAGAGATGGCTCAGTAGTTGAGAACACTAGCTGCTCTTCCAGAGGACGTGGGTTCAATTCCCAGCACCCACATGACGGTTTACAACTGTCTGTAACTCCAAAATCTGATACCCTCACACAGACATACATGCAGGCAAAACAACAGTACACATAAAATAAATAGATATAAATTTTAAAAATTAAAAATAAATAGGAGGTGCAGGTCTCACTACTGACTATATGAGGAGCCGCAGGCCCTGGATTTGGCACCTCCTGCCCTTTTTTCCTCATCATCATCCCTGATGACACGAGGCTCAGAGGAATTAGATAGCTTGAATGATGGCCTGTAACTGGTTGATTGTGTCCTCTCTTCTGTGTGTCCTGTTTTCTTGCTTCTAGAACAGTAGTTCTCAACCTTCCTAATGCTGCAGGCCTTTAATACGATTCTTTGTGTTGTGGTGATCTCCAGTCATTATTATTATTATTATTTTCCGAGACAGGGTTTCTCTGTGTTGCCCTGGCTATCCCGGAACTCTCTCTGTAGACCAGACTGGCCTCGAACTCACAGAGATCCACCTGTCTCTGCCTCCTGAGTACTAAGATTAAAGGCGTGCACCACCACCATGGGGTTATAAAATTATTTTGTTGCTACTTCATAACTGTAATTTTGCTACTGTTATGAATCGTAATATAACTATCTGATATGCAGAATATCTGGTCTGTGACCCTTGTGACAAGGTCACATGACCCCCCAAAAGGGGTTGCAGCCCACAGGTTGAGAACCGCAGTTCTAGAACATAGCCTTCATCCTCAGAGTTCTTTCCTGTCTGCAGGCCTCGGATCTATGATGAGAGGCGGTGGGAGGCTCAGGGACTGAGCTAGGGGACAAATGCGAGTGTGAGGGATGCTGAGAGTCTCATAACTCAGTAGTTCTGGAAGGGGGTGGGGAGTGGAGACCGCTTAGCCAGGGGCTGGGTTAGCCTGAGGGTTGCCGGGCAGTGGCGGTACACGCCTTTAATCCCAGCAGTCAGGAGGCAGAGCCAGGCCTCCCCCACCAAAAGGACAGTCTTTTTGCTTCTAGGCGGGACAGGCAGGCAGGCAGTACCCCGGCTAACTGGGCAGTCACGTGCCTCGTCTGTGGCCTGCGCCGGGGCTTCGTGTGACTTCCTCCTCCTCACTGCTCTTGTGCTTGTCTCCACTTGCCTCGCTGTCCCGTCCCCTGCCCTTCCTCCAGCGTGGGAAGAGCGCCACTGCTCCAGCAGTGACGATGACACTGATGTGGATGTGGAGGGTCTGCGGAGACGGAGGGGCCGGGAGCCCAGCCCCGCCCCGCCCACGATGCCTGTGGGTGTGGAGGACCAGGCCAAGGGCGAGGGTGTAGGAGGCGAACTGGGCATCTCCCTCAACATGTACTTCCTGGGGACCCTGGTTCTCCTGGGCCTGGGGATCCTCCTGTTCTCTGGTGAGTAGTGTCCTGGCTAGGGCCTCCAGTCTGTCCTTTGGCCCTGCCTTGCTGCCTGCCCTGTCCTTCCCTCTCCTTGCTTCCCCGAGGGCCTCATCAAAGTGTCCTCATCTTCAGGTGCGTTGTTGGAGCCTGAGACTGGTGAGTAGCAGAGGTCCTGACTCGATTTCTGTGGTGGTGGTAATGGGAGTCTGTGTGGGGCGTGTTCCTCAGGTAAGGTGTTCAGGGTTGCATATTATTTTTCAGTAGTTGACCTTGTCAGCTGCTCAGGGTGACTTTTGTCCCTGAGCTTGGCAGACCTGTGAGGCATGGGGTGTGTTCGGGGAAGGTAGGGGTAACTGGGAGAGGGGTGATGGGCTCTATGGATCATGGATTCAGAGGCTCACTTACCTGCAGGGTCCGTGGAAGAAGTAGAGTTGCAGGTCTTCCCAGATACTGGGCCGGAGACTGAGTTGGTAGATACTTTAGGGAACAGGCAGGTATGTGTGGGTTTTCCATAGGTGTGTGGGGCCTGGTGGGGAGAAGCTGGACTGCCCTGCCTGGGAGGGAACACAACATGGCTGCTCTTCTGCCCTCAGGATGAGCGAGGGCAGCTGCAGGCCTCAGCACTACCAGACAGTAGCCCCAGCCTGCAGAGCATGGGGCTTTTGCTGGACAAACTGGCCAAGGAGAACCAGGATATCCGGCTGCTGCAGGCCCAGCTGCAGGTGGGCCCTAGCAAGGGGGGGTTCATCTGCTCACCTTTTCCAGGTATATGTCCTAGTGGGGTTCCCCCGGAAGGAGTTTTACTTATCATCTGACTCTTGAGCCTCGCCCTTTTACCACTGTGTGCGGGGTGTCTCCTTGGTCTGTTTACTTCCCTCCTGCTAAGGACTGCCAGGGCTGGTGTGCCTCTTTACATGGCAGGTCACCTCTCTGACTGATGGCTATGGTCCTCCTGGGGCACTTGGAGAACATGCCACAGCTCACGCCAAGCGCTAGGGCCAATGGGCGGTGCGTGCTCTAGGCATAGACGGTGGAATTGGGATTGGGAACGCTAGCCATTGGCTGTACTGGATCTGAAAAGTATGTGCTGGGGTGGGATTTGACCATCTCAGGGTGAAGGAGAGGGGGACCCATCTGGCTGTCCAAGGGCTCAATCCAGGGCCTGCAGACACTAAGCAGTCCCTCTACCAACAGAACTAGCTCCTGCCCATTCTAATAGAATAGAATTGGGGAAGAAGGCATTGTCCCCACCCTGACAAGGATTCCTGTTTTCTTCTGTTCCTGACTACATTCTAGGCTCAGAAAGAAGAGCTTCAGAGCCTGTTGCACCAGCCCCAAGGGCTGGAAGAGGAGAATGCCCGGCTCCGGGAGGCCCTGCAGCAGGGCAAGACCTCCCACCAGGCCCTAGAGTCAGAACTACAGCAGCTAAGGGCCCGACTCCAAGGCCTAGAGGCTAACTGTGTCCGGGATGTAGATGGGGTGTGTCTCAACTGGGGTGGAGGCCCAGGTGACAAAGCCACCAAGGATCAAGGCCACAAGGGGCAGGAGCCAGATCCCAGTTTAGTAGAGCAGCATAAGCGACTAGAGGCTGAAGCCCAGGCCCTAAGGCAGGAGTTGCGAAGGCAGTGGCAGCTGCTGGGCTCTGTGCACCGAGACTTGCAGAGGGGCTTGCAGAATGCTGGCCAAGGAGCCCCCGCTCGTGCTGGCCTGGCTGAACTTGGTCACATGTTGGCCCAGACATTGCAGGGCCTGGAGAACTGGGGTCGTAACACTGGCATTCCTGCCAATGACTCAGAGGCCTGGTACCAGAAGCCCCACTTCCAGAATTCCAAGGAGTGGAGCAGAAAGGAGAAGTGGCATAGTGGGCCGAGGGACCACAAGGCTGAGCACTGGAGGCAGGGCAAGGAGGAGTCTGGCCAGAGTGAGCACTGGAGGCAGGGCAAGGAGGAGTCTGGCCAGAGGGAGCACTGGAGGCAGGGCAAGGAGGAGTCTGGCCAGAGGGAGCACTGGAGGCAGGGCAAGGAAGAGTCTGGCCAGAGGGAGCACTGGAGGCAGGGCAAGGAGGAGTCTGGCCAGAGTGAGCACTGGAGGCACAGGAAGGGGGAGTCTGGCCAGAGTGAGCACTGGAGGCAGGGCAAGGAAGAGTCTGGCCGGGAGAGGAAGAGGAGCTGGAAGGATGGGAATGGGGAACCAATGGGGGTGTGGAAGGAGGACAAGCCAAGGGTAGAGGAATTGGGGAACAGAAAGGATGGCAAGCGACAGGACTCCAAGGCACACCCAAGGGAACGTGGAGACACCTACTCTGGAGAAAGGCCGAAGCCTTCTTGGGGGAAAGACAACAGCCCTGACCCCCTGTCCTCCTGGGGGGAGTTGCTGAGGCGCAAGTACCGGCCCCCTCAGGGCTGTTCAGGTGTAAATGACTGTGCCCGACAGGAGGGCCTGGCCTTCTTTGGCGCGGAGCTAGCCCCTGTGCAGCAACAGGAGCTGGCCTCCGTGCTGAGAACGTACTTGGCGAGGCTGCCCTGGGCTGGGCCACTGACCAAAGAGCTGCCCCTCTCACCTGCTTACTTTGGAGAAGATGGCATCTTCAGGCATGACCGTCTTCGCTTCCGGGACTTTGTGGATGCCCTGGAGGACAGCCTAGAGGAGGCAGCATTGAAGGAGATGGGCGATGACGATGAAGTGGATGACTTTGAGGATTTTGTCTTCAGTCACTTCTTTGGAGACAAGGCACTGCAGAAGAGGTGGGGGTCGGGGGAGTGGTGCCAATAGCTGGAAGGGATTTAGAGGCACTGGAATCCTGAATGGAAGAGGCCTCTAGCTTCAGTCCTTCTCTTCATTTCTGATTCCCAGGCCTTAGAGAAGGCTTCTGGGTACATTTCCTGTCTTCCCATGAAGGGCTACAGTAGTCCTGAGGGGTCCCCTTTTTCCACCCTACCTGTCCCTCCAGGGCCCCTTCCGGCCTCCCCCAGTGGATCCATACCGGAAGCCCAGGTCTCCCCCATGCTTGATGGCAGCAGCCTGAATTGGCTTCCCTCAGAAGAACAGGGCTTTCCCATCTCAGTAGTATTGTTTCCTAAAGGCCTTTGCCCGCCTTGTTCCCTGTCTCCCCACAGATCAAGGAAGAAGGAGAAGCACTCCCAGAACCACAGAGTTGTGGGGCCCAGGGAAGAGCACGGCCGTCATCCCCGCCACTTTCACCGTGGCTAAGCCCTGCCCCTGCTCTAACAAATGGCCTTGGCACATACCCAACTCAAGATCCCTGGAATTATGTGACCCTAGAAGCTGTGCTCCCACCGTCCATCGGGTCCCTCTTGGCTCTTTAGTGTCCTTGAATGTGCTTCACAGAAGAGAGCAAAGCACTTGGCCCTGAGCTGGTACCACTTTCCCTGCAAAAAGGCCATAGTTGGTTCTGCCAGAGTGTCTTTGCATGCAAAAACATACAGAAGCTAAAGGCCCTGGGTACTGAATGTGTAGGGCCTGCTGGGGAGCCTGCTGATTCTGAAGCCAGAGAGCCGGTCTCCTCCTCTGTGGGTGCCCCCAGGACCACAGCAGAGCCTGCAGCCCTGCACTGAAGCTGCTGGTTGGAGACATAGCTCCAGACTTGCTCTGGGCTTTTGTTAGCTTTGGAGGCAGCTGTCCCCAAACAAGAAGTCCCCTGTCATCATGCTTCTCTTGTGGCTTCTGCCTCCCTACCTGAGCTGCCACTTGAGGTGGTCTCCAAGTGCGGAGCCATTGCCACTCCAGGGGACAGGTGCAAGTGAGACACTGCACTCAGCCTTCCCCTCTGGCCCCAGCTTTCCGTCTTGCAGGCCCTCCCCCGTGCTCACCTCACTTTCCCAAGGAGCCTAGCCTTGAACCCGATTGTCTCACAGTTGCCCTGACTGAACCCCTGTGGAACCCTGGGCTCCAGGCCAGGCTGGGTGGCCTCAGGCCAGGTCGTCATGGTCTTCTTATCCTCGGAAAGAGGACCGAGGGCTGAGAAACAGTAAATATAGCACTGAAACAAACTGCTTCCGCTACACAGGTGTTCCTTCTTTGGAGCGTGCTATGGAGGGCTGGGAACATCTCAGCCCTGCCTGGGGCTGCAGATGTGAGGGAGCCACTAGGTGGCACTCTGTCTCCACATTTTTTTCACACTGCCTCCCTCCTGCCCCTGGTCAGCACCCCACACCCCAGACCCCTACCCACTGACTAGCTTTCAGGTACTCCCAGAATGCCCCTGGCTATTCTTCAGGAAGCCCCCCTGGGTTCTGACTTCTATCTTATTAGCACACACCGGGCTTCTAGATTACCCTTGGCAATCTCCCGGAAGCACAGCGGGCAGAGGCATGTGGGTAGAGTGGCAACTCAGGCCAGGTCAGTTAAAGCGGGGAGCAGGGCCTATAGACTCTAGAACAGTGTTGTGATTGATCTCTGTGTTATTTAGCAATGTTTTTATGCTTCTGTGTAAAGGTTTCGAAGTGCACTGGCTTGTTCAATTCTGGTGCTAGACAAGACAGTTGGAAACGGAACAAGGTTGGCTCATTCCACAGACATTTGTAAAGTCTATTGTGTGAGGCTGGAGAGACGGCTCAGCTATTGGGAGCGTAGGCTGCTCTTCCAGAGGACCCGAGTCTGGTTTCCAGCACCCGCGTGGTGGCTCACCACTGTCAGTTACCCTGGTGGCTGGGAGAGAGCTCAAGGCCAGAGGTAGGCAGGGCTTGTCTGCCAGGGTGCTGGGCCTAGAGGTGGAGATACGCAGGTCTTCTTTGGTTTCCTAGAGGATGTTGGTATGGGCGCTCTTGTTTCCATGACAAGGGCTTATTTCTGCTGGATAACATACTTTGAAGTCTGGGAGCCCCACAAGCCCCTTCCTCTTCCTGCACACTCAGGCCTCTGTAAACTGAACTGCAGGGTCTGAAGCCACCAAGTTGGGAAGAAAATGAGAGCCCTTAACCCAAGGGCCATGTCCGGAAAGACCAGGCACATTGGGGCCTCATGGGAGGAGGGCCTCTCTCTGTCCCCTCCACAACCCACAGCAACACAGGAGAGTGAGCAGGAGAGCGCCTCTGACTATGTGTGGAGATGAAGAGTTGAGAAGGGGCTGGCGGCAGTGCTGACCCTGCTTCCTTCCCACAGCACTGCAGGGCGACCCCAGGAACAGAATCATTAGATGCTGCTGCTGATCCTGCTGGCTCTCTGGGATCTGGGCTGGGTGTTTCAGTCCTTTCTTTTGGAATTACCCAGGCGGGTGCTGCTGCCCTCAGAGTGGCTCTGGGAGCCTTGGGGGGTATCACTGGAGCTGAGGACGGTCTTGGGCCTCACCCCTCCTCTCTCCAGTGTCTTCTCTCCTCCCCGACCTCTTCTCCTGTCCTTCTTCTCACCCACTCCTCACTCCTCCCCTCCCCCCATCTCCTCTTCTCTATGGAGTTAACCCAGGGCTCCCTGTGTGTTAGGCAGAGGCTTTATTACTTGCTATTTTTATTTTGAGACAGGATATTGCTGTATGTCCCTGGCTGGCCTCAAACTTTCAATCCTTCTGCTCTGGTGCCCAAGTCCTGGGACTACAGTCATATTCTACTACATTCTTTCCAGGGCCTTCTACTTTTAAGTGGAAAGCTTATTTTTCCTTTAGCCAAAACTGCTTCCCCAGGGGCCACAATCTGTCATTTCTCCCTTCTGTTCCTATTTCTTTTTCTCCTCCTGCTGTATTTCCAGGCTCCCCACATGCCCTTGGCCCAGCCGTTTACCACCTATGGCCTGCCCAGCCCTTTACTATGGCCTGTCCACCTTTTACCATGGCCTGTCTCTCTCTGCCTCTCTCGGCCTCCAGGCCCCACTCCCTCCCACCCGACACTTGTGACAGAATGACAAGTGGAGTGGAGTGAGTCACCTCTGGTCCTGTGTGTCCCTAGCTTCTCAGAGTTAGGTACTACATTTGAGAACTGCTCCCAGTCTCCTTTGCTGGGCCCAAGGACAGTCCACAGACGAGCTAGGTGTTGCCATGGGAACCTCTCGAAGGCACTCAAATGCAGGAGCTCTATATAGTCAGCCTTGTTCTAGGCCACAGATGTGTCTGGTCCTGTCATATGCTTACAACAAGGGCCTAGCTGACTCCCCACTGGCCTGCAGAAATGTCCTAAATCCAGACGCACCAGGTGTGCCTCTCCAGCCTTATTGCTTCATCTCTGACTTGCCTGAGCTGCTGAATCCCACTTAGATTTCTGAGTCAGCTGACCAAACCCTCCAATGTACCTGGGCCCCTCCCTCTGGGATGACTTCCTTTTCCGCTACTGTCCCACTTCTAGACCAGGTGACTTAACTAGAACTTTGGCCCCAGCACATTTGGGGTCAGAAAACCTAGTGTGTCAGATTTCTGACGATCACCCACAGCCCTGGATGAGATGTCCATATTCCCTTAGGGCTCAGCCAGCCTGTCATGAAAGTGGGAACGAGGAACAGCAACTCCTCACTTTAGTGAGTCACTGTGAGATCAATGACAGGGCTTCTTCAACCTTAGAGTACAATCATTTGTGGCTGTATCCTGGGAGTTCCTTCTAAGACCCATGGGTGATGCTCCTGTTCCTTGTATAAAAGGGCGCAGCGTTTGCAAATCCCCCACGTATGGCCCCTGTGCAGTTAAAACACCTCTAGATTACTTATGATGGCACCCAGTGTGATGCGAATACTAAGTGTTTGTTATACTGCATCTCCTAGGGAATAACAAGGGGGAAAGGCTGCATACACTCAGAAAGTTTTCTATTGGTTCATTTCGGTTTTTTGTTGTTGTTCTTTTCTTTTCTTTTTTTCTTTTTGAGACTGAGTCTCTCTATATAGTCCTGGCCATCCTGGAACTCACTCTGTAGACCAGGCTAGCCTTGAGCTCACAGAGATCTGCCTGCCTCTGCCTCCTGAGTGCTGGGGCTAAAGGGATGCATCGCCGTGCCCTGCTGTTTTGGAATTGGGCTCTCACGGCAATCAGGCCAGTGTGAACTCATTATGGAGCTAAAGCCGCAAACTGGCCCGATACTAGTGTCCCAGCTTCCAGAGAGCTGGGATTCCAGGCATGTGTCCCCATACCAGACTCCTTTCTTCCTCTCTCCCCCCTTACTCCTCCCTCTCTCTTTCCTTCCTTTCCTTTCCTCCCTATCCTGTTTCTCTTCATCCCTCCAGCTTTCTTTCTTTCATTTCTTTGTGGCTGGTTTATGACAGGTTCAGGTTGGTCCTGGGTTACCTCGTCCCTAGCTGCTGGGTTATAGTATCAGCCACAGCACAGCTGCTGCTGCTTCCTTTGCATTTCTTTTAATTTTTTTTTTGGCGGGGGTATTCTGGTTTTTTTTGGGGGGGTGTTTTGAGACAGGGTTTCTTTCTCTGTGTAACAGTTCTGGCTGTCCTGGAACTCACTCTATAGAGTGGCCTCAAACTTAGAGATCTTCCTGGGATTAAAGGCATAAGCTGTCTCTCTCTCTCTCTCTCTCTCTCTCTCTCTCTCTCTCTCTCTCTCTCTCTCTCTCTCTCTCTCTCTCTGTCTCTCTGTCTCTCTCTCTCTCTCTCACACACACACAATTTTGTTGTTTTGAAACAGTGTCTTGCTGTGTAGTCTTGGATGACCTAGAACTTGCTATGTCTCAAACTCATATAGATTCATCTGCCTCTGCCTCCCTGGTCCTGGGATTAAAGGTGTACCATTTTTCTTTATTTTTTGAGACAGGGTCTCATAGATGTTTATGAGTTCAAGGCCAGCCTAGTCTACATAGTCCTGACTATCCTGGAACTCACTATGTAGACTAGGCTGGCCTTGAACTCATAAACATCTATTTGGATCTGCCTCCTGAGTGCTGAGATCAAAGATGTGCACCACCACACTCTGCCTCATTTTTCTTTTAATTTAAAAGATACCTTCCTTTGTTTTCCCCTCCCCCCTCTCCCATCCTCTGATCCCCCCTTCCTCCTTCCCTTCCTTCCTCCCTCTTTATTATTTATGTGTGTGTGCATACATTGTGTGTAGAAGTCAGAGGACAACTTGCCTAAGAGTTGATTTTTAGCCAGGCAGTGGTGGCGCACTCCTTTAATCCCAGCACTCGGGAGGCAGAGGCAGGCAGATCTCTGTGAGTTCGAAGCCAGCCCTGTCTACAGAGAGAGTTCCAGGACAGGCTCCAAAACAATACAGAGAAACCCTGTCTCCAAAAACAAACAAACAAACAAAAAAAAAGAGTTGAGTTTTCTACCGAAGATTGTCAGGCTTGGTGACAAGTGCCTTGGCCTGCTGAGCCGTCTCATTGACCTGAGCTGGCTGACCTGGAGTCAGGCTCCTCCTCCTTCAGTGTCCTGCTTATGGGATTACAGGTTCACATCACCAAGCCTATGTTCAAGTATTTTGCTGTGGAGTAGGCTGACTCCATAGACTGGAGTTCACTGTTTGATACAGAGGGCCAACTGAATTGCTGTTGGGGCTGAAGAAATGACTCAGTTAAGAGCACTGGCTGCTCTTCCAGGGGACCAGGGTTCAATTTCCAGGGTGCCTCACAATCATCTGTAACTTCAAACTAAAACAAAAACAAGAGCCAGTGGTTGAGAGGTCACTGATCCTTTTGTTTGTTTTGTTTTTCGAGACAGGGTTTCTCTGTATTGTTTTGGAGGCTGTCCTGGAACTCGCTCTGTAGACCAGGCTGGCCTCGAACTCACAGAGATCCGCTTGCCTCTGCCTCCCGAGTGCTGGGATTAAAGGCATGCGCCACCAACACCCAGCAGAGGCCACTGGTTCTTAAGCCTGGCCACAGCTCTTGGTTCTTGCCCCTCAGGCTAACTGGATTAGTTTAACCCAAGCAAAATGCTGACAGTGCTTGATTAATGCTGCCAGGAAGCCTCTGCTGATGCTTGGAGAGGACCAGCTGGTGACAGCAAGATTTTGGTGATGGAGGAGGAAGGAACATGCTATGGCAGAGGAGTCAGAAGCTTGTCTGTGGGTCCAAGGAGACTCTTCCTTATAAGAATGGCAAGGACTGCAGAGCGGAGGGGGCCACTGAGA